TAGTTAATTCTCAATAAAATGTTTTGTTTATTCTTCGTTATGAGCAGTAGAAATCACTTTCATTTTTCGTAAAATAATCCTTAGAATATCAGAATAAATAGTCTAACATTGTTAAGACATTTTCATAAAAAAAATCATGAATTGGATGAATCACAAAGTTTTCTTCATTTTAACTATAGAAATTTATGAAACTGATGCAACTGTCTCCATCTTCTTTTATTGTTGAAAAGCTCAACATCCCCTTACGTCCATTTCCATCAGCGTGTCGATCACCTTGATATAACTGTAAAAAATGGTCGATAAAAGTATCAAACCCTATCCAAAATCGATTTTGTAAGTATTATTTGAAAGGCTCATTTGAAATGATTAAGTAACTAATGTATATTAATGTAAAAACTAAGATGATTTACTCTTTTGATGTAAACACTTTGATTACAGACGTACTTCTTAGGAAGACTATTTATATTTTATGCGACTATGTTTCATTTAATAACCATTCACTGCCATTTCTTGTAGAAAATCTTAAAGATCACTTATTTTTTTTATAGTTATACACTGACAGTGTGAAGTTCACTTTTGAAAGCGAATATTTTAGGACTGTTGTTGGCCGATGTGTTGATGAGAGATGTGGAAAAACTAGCTGAAGATTTATTTCAAAAATGGTGTCTTCATAAGTGGTACGTAGATTTCATCATAGTCCTAAGTGATGAACATGAAGATATGGACAGCTTGTTAAAAGAACTTAACAGAATTCAAATGCATATTTTTCTTAAATGCGTAAAAAAGATGAATAACCAGCTCCCTTTTCTAAACAAACTGATTAGTAGGAGACACGATGGTTCCATCAAACTGTCTGTATATAGAAAGTCGATATGGACAGAGCAATATCGTAATTTCCATAGTCGTTGTCCAATCCGTTAAAAACGTGGATTAATAAAGGGCCTAGTCGTTAGGATCAGTTGTATTTATACTAATGATACCACTGAAGGAGACACAATGCTCCTAACTAAAATATTAATGAATATTGATTATCCATTGAAGTTTATGAATTATTGGAAAGATAGAAATACGATGAGAACTATTAAGTTCTGGCATCCGAAGAACGACTCCATATTACCTTAACACTTAAAGACGACTCAAATAGTCTCATGTCATAACGTGAACTTAAATTATCTATCAACAGGACATTTTATGTGGCCCAACTCATTATCGAAAGGTCAGGGTTTATTTTTCAGCAAAAACCCGAACAGCATGTCAGCGATTGTGTTACATCCTATTGCGTCTATCAATTTACTTGCATGTGCGGAAACAGATACATAGAAAAAACAATCGTGAGCTACAAGAAAGGGTGCCTGAACACATACCTAAATAGCTACAAAATTAGATGAATTCCAATGGCCAAATTACAAGATACCCTCCTCCATTGAGAAACATTTGATTGAGATCAGTTTTAAAGTTGATATCAAGTCAGCTTTTGCAGTTTTGTACAAAAGTTCCCTAGAGCACAGACCGTGGTTTATTGAAGCTTTGGTTTTATGAAAACTCAAACCCGCTTTGTGTTCAAGAACAATCTGTTCTTACTCCTAACCTACTCTGGTAATAATGATTTATTATTCAATGTGGTTTTCACACTGTGTACTTCATTGTGATCTTTGTTATCCCTAACCTTTTGATCTGTTTAGTTGACCTCTTACTTTAGGATAGATAATGTGTTTCAGAATGGACATTTGTGGAGATTGTGGTAATTTTAACAGTTGAATTCATGAGTCGATGTAAGTTAAACCACCATTAAAAACTTGGATATGAGGAGTCCTACATTAGAACGAAACGGCCGTCCAGTGCTTCCAGGTTTTCAATGGTGGTCTAGCTTACATCGACTCATGAATTCAACTATTATAATGATGTGCTAACAAGTATATGTGGGTTCAGATTGTTCGAAATGTATTGCGCGAATATATCACATGATTTTCATTACTTTGGTTTTCTCATTGAATTATCCAAATATTATGTTTATTATTATCATTAATAATGCTTGTGAATTACGTAACGAATTCCCATTCAAATTCTTCATATTTAAATTAATCACAATAACGATGAAGCCTCAGTGGTCAATAACGATGATATAATATAAATGATTTGATTGTCTGAATTAATTATGTTCACGTACATGCATAATACGGAGGCACAATTTTTTCCTTAATAATTTGATCTGATCAGTGTCAACTATGTATTTTTGCAAAGCACTCTAATGGATAAAAGGAAAAGTAAGCTGTTATCTATGTTCATTACTCAATAGAATGTCTTCGAAATCAGTAATATTTTCCAGATCGGAATCAAATTTCATACATAATAAGAACAAATAATCAGTCTTTATTCTTAGTTGTTTAAATCAAATGTATTTTTATAATATTACACAATAAGATTATTTTCCGCAAATATACTAAGAATTATTACTATGATTACTCAAAAGACTTAGCTGGAACTTATCGTATCAACTACATTCCAGCAATGAATCCTGAACAATTTACTATTTTCTAATAAATATTTTGATCATCACCAAAAAAGTCGAGAATGTTTTATGGTATATTTTAGACTACTCATGAATAGTGTAAAATGTATAGCCCATATTTATTATTTTAGGAAACATTCTTGTTTTGCACTGATCATTGTATTTGAAAAGCGCCCATCATCAGCACAATTAAGATTATTCCAAATTCCCTTTTACGTAATTTATGGGTGTATATTTTAACGAAGTAGCAATAATAATGGTTCATTATTAGATGTCAGTAACGGGTTGTGGATGAATATTCTGAAAATAAAACCAGAATAAAATATTATAAATCACAACTTGGTAGTTAGAACACGTCCCTCTTAATCACCATTCTCTAGACTCAAGGTTCATTTTAACTACTTATGAAATAACCAGTTCCTGTATAAAAATGAACTGTAGCAAGGAAACGATTTTATGAATATGTAACTATTAAATGGGTTGGATGTCAGAATAAAACGAATGAAGAATAAAATGGAAACATAGTGATTAGGTTTCATAACTGAAAATTAAAGACACAAGTTGAAAGATTTTGTTTGATCCAATTGTTATTCATAAACATTATATGCTAAACACACTTTAATATTTTATACCCTTTAGGGCACTTAATAAATAAGATATATATATATATATATTTCTGATGGTATGATAAAGTTATGACAATGAACACTAAAACTTTTGCTAATAATCTAGATATATGATATTCAAGTGAGTTAAATTAGTCATCTACCTGTATTCATCTAAAAGTCTTGCCATAAGCGATTAAAAAAGTAATAATAATACTGTTGATTATGTTAACAATCATTAAGTAGTTATGTATCATTTTTTAAAAGATTAAACAAAATGAATATGAAATGGATAATCTGTAATACAGAAATGTAAATCTCTGAAGAAAATGAAAGATTTCGTTCAATATATATATATATATATATATATACATCATTTATTGTATAAGTGAAGTCTGAAGTTGATTGTTTTCTACAATAGCATAACTTGAAACAGACAAGATAAACAATGAAAAAAGAAATGTTAATCGATTAAGATAATAAATCATGATCTTATTTGAACAAAATCAATCAAGTTTATTACATCGGTCATGAAATATCCTATTTACACAATGATGTAACAATGTAATTAATAGTGAAAAGATTAAACTGAGTAAAAGAAATACTGTTTATATAGAAAAAAATGAAGGTAATAATGATAAGTGTTTAATGTAAAGATTGTGAAAACTGCATCGTTTATTTTTGAGAGAGAGAGAGAGAGAGATTATTAATTTGACCAACAATAGAGAAGAAGAAAGTTACTTGTCAATTAATCGCTAAATAATTGACATGAATTGTTTGTGTAAAAGGATTATGAGCAATTTTAATTTTTTAAAAATGGCACAGTTACGATGACTCTTATCTTTATTAGAAGATAAAACATACGGATACTTTATTCAAAATTAAGAGAAACATTTAAAACTTTGACATAGAAAAAACATTAAGAGGTGAGACTATAATGTATGGACGACCTTTGAGTGTTGCTAAACTGACCTTGGGAGTGTCCATCTAACAACTAGAACCAAATATGGATTATAAACCAGTATGAGGAATTAGAATTATGATATACAGTTGATGGTTAAGGTTAGGAATTAGATTTAAGATTTTCATCACGAACTGACATCAGCTATAATGCGAAAACTTTATTTAACCAAATGAATAAGTGAATTTTGCAACAAAATCCGAAACCTGTTTTCTTATAGTTGGTTGGTTCGTCCATAAATTATAGTGTCGTTACACTAAAAAAGTATTTAGTTAGAATTAAATTCTTGTAGAGCCTATTTTCATGCAAATTATTGTTTGAGGATCAACAAAAACCAGACGATATAAATAATAATTAAGTTATACACGAATTTAGTTTTCGTTATATTCATACAAAACTAATATTGTGTCAGATGGGTTTATTATTTATAAGTTAAAAGGATAGCCAAATATTTATTATCTAATACTGTTACCTAAATATTTGTGACCAGATTTCACAGTGTACTGAACATAATACAATTCATTCATTCTGAAAAACCAAATACATACTTATACGATTTGGTGTAAAAGCATAGAACAAGCTAGTAGATGACAATCTATATGTATATCAGTATTAGACAAAAACTATATCCTAATACTTTAATTTATGTGTCGAAATTCAGACTGGAGGCACTTAGATTTATCGGCTGCAAATCAGAACGATTATTTTTGTTCATGTAGATTCACATTATCAAAGGAATTACATCTTGTAAGGTATTTTTTTAGTGATATATATAACTACTTGGGAAATATGAATGGTTCAATCGAAATAACTGTTTAGTACTTTTTTAATGATTGCCCAGTTAGAATTTGTTTATGGTGTAAACTATTTTTAAATTAAATAAAAATCAAATAAACTTGTTAAATTAATGACAACACTTTAATATCGATAATTTTATAGAAAATTTATGTGTACAGATGTATGTATAACTGAAAAAAGTTATTTCAATACTTGTAGAACAGCTAAACTTGATCTCACGACGGTTTATTATCATAAACAATACGACGCAATTATTTTATAATCGATTCTCTGATCCTGATGGTATCCGAAACGAATTAATTCAGCAGAGCTATGTGTGCAATAAAACATGAAATACAAGATATTTTTCATCATCAACGTCTTTGATAACAGTTATTAAAAATGTTAGATGATAAGGGAGCTTGTCCAGAAATTAAATCTAGGCCTCATAAACGGTGATGAAAACAAACGATAAGATTTCTTATGAATCATTATGGGTATTTAATTCAATTAGTCAAGTTGTAAAAATTGATCTCCTGCAGTGGACCCAATAACAAGATGGTACTGGCACATTTATAATCCCAATAATGAAGCAAATATGATACATTGTTTAGACGTTACTTAGAAGATATTGATGTAACAACGATAAAAACTTAAGTAAACGGAATATATCCATTAAGACTTAAAATAATGAAAATCCGTTCAGCAAAAAGTTCTCTTTACGGTGAATTCATTTTCAAAGTTGTGCAATCGCAAATATGTATAGTTATTTTTCAAGATAATAATTGCAATAATACTGATAATAAACTTCTGTTAAACATGGTAAGAGTGAGGCTTGTTTATTCTACCTCACTGTTACCATGTTAAACAGAAGTTTATTATCAGTATTATTTAAATTATTATCATCCTGAAAAATAATTATACATATTTGCGATTGTACAGCTTTGAAAATGAATTCACTGAAAAGAGAACTCTTTATTGAACGAATCTTTCTTATAAAAAAACCTTACACATACATTCTTTATCATTGACAAACATAATTTGACTTTTTATGTTTTAAATAATTATTGTATGATATCAAGTCCTCAACGATATATAAGATAAGCTATGTAAATCAGTATCGAGTTTTACTATAACTTTTGTTTGGTGGTTGCAAACAAATGGTAAGCAGCCTTGGCTTCAGATCCTATGCATACATATACAAAACAAATCTAACATGGATCACTCAACCCAGTTACTGACCCTTCCAACAAATAAATTGCTTCGAATTACTAAACATCACATTCAAACAAGTATTTAGACATAATCTGTTAGAGGAATACTATTCAGATGTTATAACACATGTGAGGTACATATAAATTTAATTCTTAAACTGTGTTTTTTTTCTAACTTCTATCTGTCTATAATATAGTCGTTGTGCCATTTATACTATTTACAATACCTTATCATTCTTCTGTTTCAATTAACTCTAATCAACAGAATAATTTGACATATTTAGGGATATTCACTGATTAAAAACTTATGAAACCATTGATCAGTAATAAAATTACAAGTGAAAAAGAAAGTATGTTCTAAAGTATGATACCTTTTGACTTTCTAGTGTTTATTTCTCTATTATAACTTGATTTGTTTATATATCACATATCTTTTGCTAAAACTGTTTATTCATTTTTATTACAATTGGCAATCTATATGAAAATGAATTGTATTTACATCCTGAATATAGTTATCATTTCAAATGATTGAAAATACATGTAACACATCTTAATCAGTTGATTATAGACTTCTAATAAAATAGTTATCCTTTTTGTTTGATAGAAATAAACATACAGTGATTTCATTCATTTAGTTAAAGTGATTTTTTTCGTTATTTCTTGACATTAGATTACTTTAGTGGAAAACATATATAGATGAGTGATTTTTGTCATAAACGTTAGTTAGTCTTTTTTCTTTTGCTCTATTTATTTAAATGAAAAATACTACTGATTTTGTTTCTTTTCATGAATCAATGGTATACATATATATTGGGATAGAAAAATAGTTTTGTAAATAAAACAAAACCCCTTCTGATATTAATCAATATATGCTCACTAGTGACTGGCTTCAAAGTGTATATCCTGGAGTTCTAGTAAGATAGTAACTCACTGAAGACAATGGTGGATGTGCCGCTCAATTTTGTGGATTAGTTGAAGCTAGACATTAACACCGTTGGATACCGGACCAGTAGTCTGGTGGTTAAGTGCTCGTGCTCAAGACTGATAGGTCCTTGGTTCGAATCTCGCGAGGCGAGGTCGTGGATGGGCACTGCTTTGGAGTCCGACAATAGGACGAAATGGCCGTTCAGTGCTTCCAGGTTTTCCGTGATGATCTAGCTTCAATTGGCTCATGATCCGAAATATTCAGATCATAAAGATATTTCAAAAGTAAAGACTTAGTAGCATAAATTCCTAAAATCTTAATTTCTGGATTTTGTATTATTCAGCTAAATTTTTAAACATTAAAAAGGTGTAATTGGATTATTGCAAGTGAACAGTAAAAAAGGTGGTTGCACTAATAATATTATCATTTTAAAATATTGCAAGCCAAGTGTAATTTTTAATATGAAATTTATTTTGAGATCAGTAAAATAACTCCGGTATTTTTATTCATTTTGTTGATTTTATTTCGTTGTATTAATGTGGTATGTTGACTTGAAACAAGCAACATCTACGTTGATGATTGATTTCAATCAATGAAAATTTATAACTTAATTGATTGATTTGCCATCTATTTCTAGTATCCTAAAACTAGTTTCAACACTATTCATTCAGTCGTCACATGATAAGCGGGAAATGTCCCGAAGATATCTATGATTAGATATCAGCAATCTACGTATGTCTATCACTTATAAAATCCATATTTTATACATATAGAGAAATATAGAGTTGATTGCCTCACTTTACAATTTTTTTTCTATCCGAAATTCCTGTTGATACATAATAATAAAATATGGATGTTAAAAGAGTAAAACAAATTTTTCTTTACATGAAAATAAGGATTTCTCCATATTTATTTAATGATAATAATAATAATGAATAATGGTGGCGGTACAAGCAATCATTTGTTAAATAAAATCAAAATTTTCATCTTTATTGCTAAAAAACATTGAAAATATTCATTAATGGTTGTGTATGTACGTGTAGGTGCTTTTTTTTCTCGCTAAATATGTATATGCGTGTCCGTTTGAAACACTTGCATATGCATTAGTATGGTATTCATGGAAGAATTAAAAAGCGAACATTTTCCACACTCATATATGTAATAATAATAATAATAATAATAATAATATAGAAGAGAACAATGATAATAGTAATATTAGTTTTCTCTTAGTAAATCATTACGACAGGATAAGGCACTTCCCCACTTTCTCTCTTTTCAATTGACCAACAATAGTCGAATGTTTAGCATCTTGCATTATAAATATAATCAAGTGAAATAAATTATTTACTAAATCAGCCCCCATCCCAAACAAAAAAGATAAGCAAAATGTGTCTAAGAAAACAAGACAGGAAGATTAACAGGAACAAATGAGAGTTTGGTAAAAACAGAAGACTGGAGAACAAGAAAAGGTCGGCAGCAATAAACACATGGGTACAAGGAGATTTACATTTCGTTTAACATATAATCATAATGTTATTCGATTAATTTTAAAATGTTTGTGTATCTGTACAATTCTCAGTTATATGATCATCAAATATACCACAATTGTCACAGTATAAACGATTTATTGTTGTTACAGATGAATTCTGTTTAGAAATTTTATGAAAGTTTTTTAAAGATGACTTTCTAGGGATTTCATCATGGATTATTGAGTTTTTAATCATACCATTAGTGGTATAATGTTGATGTGGGTGATTATTCCCATTTGTCTGTGAACAGTCTTTTGTATCATGACTATCAAATACAAGACAATTATCACACCATAGACGTGTAGGTGGTGGATTACGTGATTTGATATGTTTATTAGAAAGTAAGCTGAAAATAGAAGAGTAAAATAATAATGATTAGATAATTGAACCGAAAAGATTATTTTATTTTAGCAGTTAAAAACTATATCATTCTGAATTACGTGTAATATTTGTACATAAGTTGTACTGATCATGGATTGATATCTGTCGATGTATTATTGAAAATTATAGAGTACTTGGTACTGGCCCTGTATAAATACCTCAACTGAGATTAATTTATGACGAGTACAAACCACAAATTCAACTAATCTCCAAGATTCTCTACAATTAGAATTTATCTATTTATTTGTCTTTGAACAAGAAAACTCCTCTAGGTATGTAACCTTACGAGAGCAATAATTTGAGTTATACATCAGAAAGTTAAATACCCATTAAGAAAAAATATGTATATAATCAAAATGGGACCGAATATATTGATTAAAAGCTGACTGAAAATAACATTGTTTATTTTGGTAGTCCGATTCAAGAATAAAAGTAGGTTTTCTTCCAAGTGATATTCCGTGTGTATGCATGAAGTTGTTAAATAAATATGTAATCTTATAATGTGATAACTAAGTATGCATGTGCTTAAGGATATTTATGACAAGAGTTAGAATGAATAGTATATGAACTCCAATGCACACACAATATATTTTACAAGAAAAATGAGATGTGAAACAATATTGGAAATGAAAAGAAAAAACTAAAATTGTTCAACCGGTTGAAAAATTGAAAAGAAAAACAGTTTCGTATCTTAGAACGATAAATTAATTCAAATTCCACTAAAAAGTAAACAACATTAACCAGGTAATTGATCAGCTCGATATTAAAAGGGACGGAAGAAGTTTCATTCTACCATCGAATAACTCTTAGTTTCATATTCACATGTAAAAAAGGACTATATTTTATGATATATGAAATTTGTTTAGTAAGTGATATAACGAACGATTTTAAGCCTTTTTTTCTCTTCGGTATACCATGCTACTAGGATGGATTGAATGATTGGATTTACAATACCGCCAGATTGTATACTCGAACAACCCGATATATGCAGACTAGATGACGTTACATAAGAGGCCAGATTTGCGACCAAAATAGAGTACCAGAATAATGGTAGGCAATGCTTCATTCAACACAATAACAAGCAGTCACTCTCAGAGATTATGGAGTAGAAGTCACTAAGAGGAAAAAAGTCACATATTTAATAGTCAGTAAATTGCGTGCTTGTTTGTCCACACTCAGTAACCAATCACATTTACTTCCATTATCACACATTAGTAAGTAGTAACCGAAGTAACCTCGAGATGGATTCATTGTTGCTTTAATGAGAATCCATGATCTGTGGAATTCCAAGAGACTAGATTTTGACAGCAATTAATTGATAACATTGTATAAGGACAGTGCTATAACATCATGGATCAATTAAAGTTGAAATTTTGAAATACTGATATCCTGACACAGTAGGTCAATTACATCAAGCTTATTGCCAGATAGAAGAGTTTTATGTTAGATACTATGTGTAGTTTTGAATGAGCACTACTTAGAAGCACTAATCTAGGAAAAAGTAAATATCAATATCAGTATGAAGATCGCTTACAAATTTTACAAAGTCTACATGAATCCACAATAATAGTACCTCAACAGTTGTGCAAAGCAATACACATTATGATAATGGTAATAATAGTAATTTTCCATTTGAAAACAGCGAATTCTTTTAACATACGTACGGTTTTCTTAAGTAACTTACTCCTATGTGATTGAGTAAAAAACAAAGATTTCATTGATACTTTCACAGAATATAACTTTTATTTATGAACAATGAATAGTATTTATGTAGAAGAGCCATAGATTATTCAATGCTTATCGAGTAGCGTTCATTTAAATAAGCAATTTGCAGACAATACAGAAGATCACTGCATAGTATCCAAAAGAAACTTATTTACATACAATAAATAAAACAATCGTAGAAAAGATTTGACAATAAACATACATAAATATTTAAAGAAATCTAAAGGATTAGGGTTGAAAAAGAGAAAATTGAATAAATAATAATAAAATATTCATAATTTATGGATGATAAATAATAACATTGTGTTTAACCCTGAGTAATTTTTCTGAATATAACTGGGAAATCATGGGTAACACATCACATAGTTCTTTTTTTTCAATTTAGTCCTACTTCAGTCAGCATTTTGTAAATGGATAGATAGTAACAACGAAATGACATATGTACAACACTTATATGAGTTCTAAATCTTCTTTATTATTTCAAAATTAGTATCATCAGCAGTAATGCACAAAAGTAACAAAATATCAACCAAACAACACGTCCTATAGACATACCACATTTTAATCTTATGCCTAGTTAGTACGAAAGACAAAAGAAAGTATGTGTGTGTAGCAAAACATTAGAGTACCCAGGGCTTACAAAGATATTCACTATCTTTTTGCCAACAATGAAAGTAAAAACATATCGGTAGTAAGAATGATGAAGTTAAGCGATCGAACATACTGTGAATTAACTGATAAAATATAATTGTGGATTTATAAAGATATAGAAGAAAATATGAACTTCTATTATTTAGCAACCTCTTGGAAGATCTTTCTTCAGAAAAATAAGTAACTTTTATACATTAACATAGGAAAAGATTGTAAAACGAACTAATCTAATTAAAATATCAATGAATGACAGACAAATATAAACATTTCAATGTCACATTTATTGACAGCGACTAAATGTGAGTGGCATTTAATGTGTAGCTCTATGTATATCACAAAGTGTACGTGAAGATGAGATTCACAGTGAAAATGGATGATTTGATTCAAAATTGCTTTGCTTTATTTGAAATTTGTGTGAGTTGAGAGAATATTCACATAATAAGTAAACATATCTACAGGACTTCCAAAAGCTAAGAGTTTATAGATTTTTGGAAGATATTTCTAGATGACCATTATTAAGATGTTACTTTCTTTATCTCTCTCATTTTACAATGTAACTGTGAAATTATTTTTTCGTTGAAAAAAATAACGAATATAAAACGTCAAAACTCCATTTTTCCCATCCACTAAGCACGATATTACGAATATATGTGACGTTAATGAGATACCTCAACCTATTATTCACGTCATATTTAATGTACAGTAATTTTTTCAACAATCAATAACACTTTCAAATTATTTAACTAATAATATCAACTTACTCTAGTTGTTCATCTGTTCCGACAAGCATTGCTCGTACACGAGATTCTAGTTCAGCATTTTTAGCATGTAGATCAACAATGATGGAATTGAGAAAATTCACTTGTGATTCAGTTGAAGCCTTTTCTTCAATTAATCGGTTTATATCAGACTGTCCACATTGATTTGCTGTATTAAAAAAAAGGGGGAAAAACAAGAGTAATGAAAACCTAGATTCGCTTTTCTGCAAACAACAATTAAGCATATTACTTGTAATGGTTTGTTGCTTTTAAAGACAATCATAAAAGACTGATTAATTGTAGTTCTTAGGATTAAATAAGGAAAAACTGTGATTTGTAGTTGTTATACAAACTAGCAGCTATCTGGAATCAGTAGCTCAGTAAGTAATGCGCTGATTTTTCGAAGCGAAAAGTATTAAGTTCGAATCTAAGAGTGAACATCAATACTGGGATACAAAATGTGCATCCACTTGACGAGCCCCAAATACCACCACCTAGTTGCAGGATTTGGACGTAATCAGTCATTGGAGGGTCGGGGTCTTTGACCACTAAACTATGGTCTTACATAAAACATGTAGATCACTGGATCAATCTCAAAAATATCAATCTGTTTCGCGTATCATTTATATTTTTTAGGAGTTTTCCCAGTCCATTATGAAGTCGCCTTATGCGAAAAAAGTATAAACTATCAACACAGTGTTTCAAAGGCATCCTGTTGGCAGCAAGATTTGGAAATCCTGGATTTTGATCCGGTCAGATACGGCCAACGTGGATGCTTACAGTTAATGAACGACTTTAAAACTAAAAAGAAACAGCTACTGAACGAAGTGTAATTCTTTAGGTATGTCCCCTTAAGAAGAAAATTACGGTATGATATTTAAATAGTCAAACATCAATTATGAATTACAAGTTTGCTAACTATATTGACATGTATGGATTCATAACTCCACTTTTAGAACAATGTTAATATCATTCAGTAACCAAGTAAACACTATTGCTACAGATAAAGTCCACCTGCCACTATTAATATAAATTGAAGGATTAGTGATTCTGAAGATGAACCAAAAGATTACGTCAACATCACATAAATAATATTTTAGTAAATGTCTCATAATGAATTGAAGAATGAATTCATTACATGGACAAGTACCCTAAGTATAATGTATATGTACTCAGCAGTGTAAAAGTTTATATAATAACCAGAGGAATCATGTACTACATTAACGTAAAACAATGTTATCACATGATATCAGTTTGCATTTTTGTACATTAGAGTATATGATATCAGTACCAGCATCACTATCCGCGTTTTAAAGTGATACACACATGCATACACATACACGTGTATGTATGAGTTGATAGAATAACAACAGATACAGACAAAAAGAGAGCGATTAGTATGAGAAATATCTTTGAATTAATAGACAGTCAACTTGGCTATGAGCCAAAAAAAACGCCAATAATGTATACGTTCACATCGATCAGCAGAAACCTAGACATACACACAATAGTGTTTTTTTCTTAACAAAAATACGGAAAGAAAAGAGACCAATTTTATATGTGCTCATCACAAAACAGTAAAGAGAAAAATAAAGGCGAGAAATTTGATGTATAGTTTTAAAGAATTAAATGTTCAGTAAACATATTTCCATGCATGAAGAGATTTATACGGAAGCAATCTTAAACACACACACACACACATGGAGTGTAAAAACAGAACGCAACGCGCACTTTTTTCATTCTTAAACTCATGGATTAAACAGAAAGATTTAGATAAGTTGAAAATTTTTTTTTGTGAAAAGAAGAACAACTTATCGAAAAGATGAGTTTTATATATTTTTTTCATTGTCTTCATAGTCAAAGAAGATTATAAATGAATAATTCAATGAATAAATAAACTATGTCCTAAGATAAATAAATTAGTCAAGAAAGGAGAAAGATGCGAAGTTTTGACGAAAAACTAGAGAATAATCACACAACAATAAAGAATAAGGCGCACTTTCTTTTTTTTCTTCATTGGAACAATGACTAGAATCTGTTAGGAAGCATACTGTTATAGATAAAATATGGTTTACAGAAAAGAAACATGCAAATAACAAATAATCAAAATAATAATTACTTCCAATAGTCAAAAATACCCAAGTTCAATTTATAGAAAAGTGTATATGAGAAGAAAACTCTTAAGTAAAAATCGAAAAAATCTTAGAAATAATGATCTTAAATTGTTAAGAGGTATTATAATGCAAATATTGCATTGATAATTATAGTGTAATAAATCCTACTTAAAATAAATTAAGTAGTTAATAAGCAGATAAACAATACATTATTATAATTTGTGGTATTAAAAAACAAACTGTAACCTATTGTCTTAAACTCAATGTATCTGTACGAAAAAAAAGAGTGAATAATTTAACAATAATAATTTAACATTACATTGTGACTCCCTTTCTATTTAAATACATACACTTCATAAGTATTCTTGATAACACACCTTGAATTGAATAGTTAAATTATATTTAACATGCTTATTTCTATAACTATCCATTTTTATTTATAATTTTATTAAAAATTAAATACTACTTAATTCTTAATGATTGCCCACATTGAAATTAAACAATTTTCATAACTACAATAATCATATATATAATAATGATTAATTTTAATAAGTAAGCAACTAATAATTATTTATAAATCTAAGCATAATCTTATGATATTGTTTCTTGTCTTTGTTTTATTTCAAAATGTATTCTTCATTTGAATATGCAACTAATTAAAATTTACTCTATTTTTTTTAATAATGAAAATAGTTAATCTCTTTGATGTTTATTAGAAGCTTTTAATTAAATTGGCGCGTAATATACACTTTTGAACAGAGAATTGATCACAACTAAAGATATATATCTATATAAACTAAATATAATAAGTATAAGGGATAATCAGACATGATTCACATAACTATTGATATAAAAGTAATTAGGATTAATATTATCATGATAAGTTTCTTGTAAATTTAAAATGTTTTTGAATAATTAAATATTGGGAAATTAAATTGTTCAATAGTAATATACTCGATAAATTATAAATTAATCATCACAATACCATAATGGATATATTCAGATTGAAACTATGATTTATTTGTAATATAATTTTAAATACAAGGGAGAAAGAATCTTTGTCATTTTCTGTTATTGGACAACTGAAATTTATTCATATTAAGTGTTGTCAACTTCAATCGTCTTTTAACCATCTGTAAATACACATAAAACTTACTTCATTCCATGCAAGTGAATCTACAGACATATAAGTGGATGTGACGTGATCATTTACAAGTCGCTTCATTGTTTTTTGATGATAACAAACTGAGTTGTATAATTTGGTCCTACTCCACTTCAATTTAAACCCCCAAAGGCCTTGTGGATTAGACATTTAGGTCAAAGATTCGGGGTGTCGCCTCATAAGAGAACCACCTGCTTTGATCTGGAGACCGGGGTAGTATTCCAACCCTCACACGAATCAATGATAACTACTACTGGCCTCATTGTAATTGTGTGGCGCATATGCATTTTATAGCTTCCGTGTAGAAATGTTTATGTGATCAAATAAATATGTTTCAACTTAAGTGTGCCCGAATCAATTATTGATCGAAGTGTGGTAAAGATATCTTATCTAAGTACCAAAACTGAAGACGCTCTTCACAGTGGTAGTTATGAATCCTGATGAGCGCACTCATTTCGTATCAATATTTTATTTGACAGTTTCGTCATTTTTCCCATGGGTTTTTTATACAAGCATGATGCATTCTATTAAAAAACTTATCAAACTACTTCATCTAAGATACTATCCTGTCTCTCCTTACGTTTTATGAAAAATTTTGTCTGATCAATGCAGTGGTTCATCTTTTGCTATTTATTCGTTTAACTTATAAACAAGTAACATTGTTTAGTGATTATGAGACAACTACTTAGTATCTGTCACAAATACATATCCAATCATTGTATCGTCTCATAAATAGGCATCATTCAACCCAAACTACCTTACAATTTACAACTATCAGGTCAATATCAAGATGACACATTATCGGTGGTTAGAAAAAAATAACCAAAATTATTAGTAATTAACCATATCCGAACTGATAGGTACTGGAATTTCTGTTGCAAACCAGATTTCGACTGTTACGTTTATACTTCAATATATATTTAGTAAAAAAATAATCGGTTTACCTTTTGTTAAATTAAAAACAATGCAAACAGAATTAATTTTGTTGGAATTAGTAATTACCATTCATTTTTCGACTCAATAGTAGATCTGATGAAATCACTTTGAGTATTTAACCACCACGTTAAACTTAGTATTTCGTTTCTCTTCTCTGTCTTCGGTGTCAGCTCATATGTTACTAACATTTCTTTGTAAATTGCCGAGTTGGACTTGCGTATCGGGTTATTCATAATATGAACGAAGTGGCATGTGTTGATTAGAAACATGCTCTATGAGAAAAACATTCCAAATTCAGATGTTTATTACCTTATAACATTTCCTAATGATTTTAAGACTGTAGGATAACAGCGCATTTTTTATTACCACATTTACACTAAGCTTGACTGAAATTTGAACGAGCATCGATGATTACAATCTAAGGAATTTTATCATTTACAATCATAAAAACATTTAAAAAATCCACTTAAATAATCAAACTTTATCAATCATTCTACAAATAACTGATATTATGAATGGGTACGATCTTACTAAGCTCAGTTGACGAATTTGGTTGGTGTTCAAGTAAACGATTTTCTGCCTCTTTAATTCGCTCCAACAATACTTGTTTCTCAGATTCTAAAGCTGTTATGGTATGGTTGTGTACTTTCTCAAGCTCCATTTGCTGATTATATACGGAAGGTAGAAAGATGATAGAAAAAAAGGATGTTAGTGTATGAGTTATATAAAGAGTGCACAATGTTGAAGATGATCAGAACACTTATACACAAATTGAACGACTAACAAAATGAAACGACAATCAAATAAAAACCATATGTCTACAAAACGTTTGGTGATTATGGTAAGGTGTATTTTAAATGCTACTTGTTATGAGACTCCTGTTACGATATATGATATATATATTCCAGTACTGTAAACGTAATTTACGAATAATATTCAACTGATCTAACCGTTTTATATATAGAGCACCTTTTAATTATTTAATAAGAGCAAAAACAAAGATTTTGATAGAACAGTATGAACACATCTGTTATAGTTCTGTACCAAAATTATAAAAGTGCATACAGAAATAATGTTGGTCAATACGAGCCATCTTGATATGGCAAAGGCATAAATAAATTTGAAAGAATCCTTGATTGAAAGTGAATTCAGTAGAAATACGTTTAGCTTTTTATATTACTAATAAGTAGTTGATATTTTATTACAGCTTTTTCTTCACTTAGTGAAAGTTGTATCCATTTTTAAGAATCATCTATAATAACAAGATGAAAATTATCACTACAATATGATATATTAGTGCAATACATCTCAAATAATCTGATAACATACATACTTGTTAAGAACATTTATATATGGAAAATAAAAGGTCAACTATACAAATGGAATGTGAAGGTAAGAGGAACAAGGGTCATAAAAAACGATGTGAAACGCCATCCTGGATAATATAACAATATTACCAGGATGAGTTTGGAGTGAGAACAAACTCTTTTTTTTAAATATGTAAACGGGGTTTGGATTTTCGTATTGGTGTAAAATGGCTATACTTTGAAATTCATAACATTCACTTAAATCGTTAATAACAAAAATTCAATCAAATGACCCAATAAGAGAAGATAATAAACATCCATCATCATCTATTGCCAAACAAATACTTGGAACAGTTCGTAGGATGAATCTTGATTCGATTTTTGTGGTATTGTACAAAATCATTCAAAGGCTAATACTAAGGTTTAAAGAAGCCTTGGCTATAAGAAAATTCAGACTCCGTTTACATATTTAAAAAAAAACAATTTGTTCTCACTCCAAACTCATCCTGGTAATATTGTTATATTATCCAGGATGGCGTTTCACATTGTTTTCATATCGTTTTTTATGACCCTTGTTCCTCTTACCTTCACATTCCATTTGTATAGTTGACCTTTTATTTTCCATAGATAAATTTTCTTAACAAGTATGTATGTTATCAGATTATTCGAAATGTATTGCATATCATATTATAATGATAATTTTCATCTTATTACACTATAATACGTCCCCCAATGTTTTAATTAATATCTGGAATGAAAGTGTGAAATTTGAGCTAATGACATGAAAACGAAGAATCCTAATTTTTATTCAAGTGATATAAAAAAAGACGTCAGATGCTACATATAAAACAAGTTAGCATACCTATGACTTCATCGGGATAGGAACAATTAAATGAAATACTAATTAGTAGTAATGGACGAAAGAGATGTTTCGAATGTTCTACTTTAATATGCAGCATCAATCCTCCAATATACAGAGGTCCTATGGCGTGAGATCAACATCCGACAACCTCGAAAGTTTGGAAATATCGATTTTAAGTTAAACAGAGGATTCCAAACTTTCTTGAATTATGTATACCAAATAAATAACTGGAATAGGTTGGATGCCGGCTCAGTGGTCTAGTGGTTAAGTGCTCGCGCGCGAAGCCAGTAGGTCCTGGGTTCGAGCCCCGCGTGGTGCGGGATCGTGGATGCGCACTGCTGAGGAGTCCCATACCAGGACGAAACGGCCGTCCAGTGCTTCCAGTTTTCAATGGTGGTCTAGCTTCAACTGACTCATGATTTCAACCTGTGGAATAGGTATGTTTGAAAATTTAGGTTTTTCTTCTTTATCCAGGGGTCATCATTAAAAAATTTTTGTCTGACCATCATATTCAATCCTACATACTTGATAATGACCTACATATTGGTAAGTATATTTATTAGTTATTTGTAAATAAATCAAAATAACGTTTCTTCTCAAAAAGAAAAACACAACTATACACAAAGAAATAACTTAAAATTATTCACAGATAAGAAATGGCGTACTTCATTTAGAACTTTATCCAACTGTGATTGAATAGTTTGTAATTCATTCGATTTGATTTCAAGTTGACTAAATGCATTAGAAGCACTTTTCTCTAATGAAAACATCCTGTATTAAAATATAAATGAATAATAATTTGAGAAAAAAGAATATCTTTGATTTTACAGACTAAAAAAAGTTACACATTAGTTATTTTGTGACGAAATACTTGGTATGTGAACGAAAGTTACACTAATTAACGGATTGAAAAAGGAATAGCATCGAGGTTATAAAGAAAAATATTCAACAATTATTTGTCAACGAATTATCCGATTATTGAAGTAAATTCATTTTTATTGTAAATCATTTACTAAAAAACAAATTCCTGTATTCAACTTTGAGTTATATTGTAGACAAGGATTTGCGATAAACAATAGTTAACTGTCTTACGAATTTTTTCATTAATAAAAATGACACATATCACTAAGGTATAAACGTTATAAACCTAACAGACAGATACTGAGCAAACAATGTGTAACAGCAGAAAGTTACACAAAATAGAAAACAAAATAATAATAATAATAATAATAATAATAATAATAATAGAATACCATTTAATTATTGATAGACTAACAGATACTAATGACAATGTTCATTTAAGTGTAACGTACATATTTCTTCAGAAAACAGTGTTTCTGTTTCTTTATTATAAGATATTGTAGAGATTTTTGGATATTATAGTTTATAACAAAGATTGATGTTGATTAGACAACACCTAAAAAGCAGAAGGCGCTGAATAGTTGCTTTATTTTAATATGGGACTTTCATTCACGACCCCTTTTAGGATTGATCTTAAGACCTTCAGATCTTCCTACGTGTACTTAATTATTATTACATTAAAGCAAGAACATATTTCACAAACACATTCACATACAAATTAAACTTACTTTTGTCGTGCATTATCAAGTTCTTCTTTCAAGGTTGAATTATCCATTTGTATCTGGTCAAAAATGAATCAAAAATCAAACCAATAAGGGTACAAATCAAACAGCTCGAATGTTGTCTGAATATCTTCGTGAATAGTTAAAAATCTATAACCTAATCAAGACAAAAAGACTGTTTTAATATCACTCCTTTAGAACTGAAATAAAAGTGGTCCGCTTTGTTTTATAAGTAGTATTTACTACTTATCTCTAGAAATAACATAAGACAGTTGTCATACATCATTTTAGTAAAACATGGATTCCGATCGAGACATTTAGGAAATAAGGCGAATAAAGCGAATAAATAATTCCATTCAATTAGATTCAAATCACGGCTCTGCACTAATATATATATATATATATATATATATATATATATATAATGTGCTGATTAGTGAGTAGCTTCAAGATGCAATTCTTGGTGTTCTACTAGGAAGCTGTGACCAGAAGAGTTTAACCGTGTTGGTTGTGAGAAAGTTATCCACAAAAGGCAATGAAAGATAGCCGCGCAGCATCGTGAAGTGACTGAAATTACAAAATAATCTAAAGAGTGAACGTTTACATACGAGACCTGAGGTACTAGGTTAGATTTCACGGATGCGTACTCTTGAGGAGTCTCATATTAGGACAGAACGGCCGTCTAATGCTTCCAGGTTTTAAGCTTTGGTCTAACAAAGATCAGTTCATGATTTTAAAAAATCTTAAAATTCTATAATCTTCATAAAACCTTATACTGGTTAACATACACGTATAACAATAATAGTAAGAGTGACACCAATTGAATAGACACGTGTTAAATAATAATAGTATTTCAAATTCAACGGTTTATTAAATTACCAAGAATAATGAAGTGAATAAAAGATGAGCTGGATCAAGATATTAATACTCAAAGGTGTTAATAAATAAACGAATGAAGTGGAACATGAAATTTAAGGATTGATACACTGTATAAAATAATGAAGTAAAATCGATAAAATATTGATAAGTTGAAAATTAATATCAATTATATTTTCAGAATATTATTGCATAACACACCACTAGATTGATACCGGTTTCACTATCACAATTAAGGATATATATGTAGAAATTAGTGAAGAACTCTGATCGAAACCAAATCTAAAAGAAATATTTTTTTCGCAGTTTCCATAGTTTTTTTCTGAATTTTGGCTTAGCTAATCCACGTTTCTAGTAAACAGTGAGCTATTCATTAGTGCTAAAACACTGATGTTACAGCTCATATAAACCTAATCGATATAGGACTAGACAAATGACATGGGTCACTACAACTCAGTGATCAGTAATTCGTAAATACCTCAATCCTAGTGGAGGTTGCTGTTCGAACAACTCAATGGTCAGATCTAAGATTGTGAGGCTGGTTAGAGCGCGTTCAAATCACAAGGAGGTCAGATTCCTCATGACTGCGAGTACGTTTAAATGATGGGTAGCAACCGGCGCATCTAGGTCGAGAGCTTCGTGCCGACTACCAAAAATTTTAGGTGCATACAAACGGAACTAAAGTCAAAATACGAAAGTCTACAGGGAAAAGGTAGCAGACAAAACACGGTTATAACATTCCAAATTGTTGTTCATTGTGTATGTAAAACCACATACAAATCAAAGTTATCGGGGTTAGTCACATAACGATGCAGTAGCATCAAAATCATATAAACGTCAATAACCTTAGGTAACATAATTTGACAGTCATTACTTTGTCACAAATAAACATTACCACATATTTATATAAATTATAACAAGACCATTCCTTATTACCACAACATTTATGACCAAGTTTTTATTTATAAATATATGTTCAGCTTCTAGTATTGATATTTCCCTAAAAAACAGTATTATTTACCGTACTGTACGTCTACAAACAACTGATTTAGTTCATAAAGAAAAAAGCAGGAAAAGAAGGTCAGCAAAACACCAAGAAGTGATTGCATATTGTCATTATACTTCCTCCGTCTATGTAAAAAATTATTCACGAAGGTAACGAATTATCAGGACTCTATTGTACTTTGTTCAGAGCAAGGATGTGGAAAAGAACCAACTGTATAAAACTATAACACTAAATGTGACATGAAACATAGTAGATACAATTTAGAAGTGAAGCATATCAATTCATACATTCATGTGAATAAATGTCACAATATGTAATATATCATTCAGTCCTTTTCCAAACCTAAATTCTATTCACGGAAACACAGATATTACAACTGATGTAAGTCATTCAACTAAAACGGCCACATTACATTATGCTTGGGGGTTGATGAACGACACGTACTTGTTGAGCCCCCAAATGCCTAGGTAGGGCCGAAAGTGGGGAGACTTTTTGATCGAAGGTCTCGGGTATGGCCCCCTAAGGAAACCACCTGTTTCGGTCTGGACACCTGGGCAGTATCACAGCCCACTCATAAATCAAATGAGTGTATTCGGTGCCCCTCTTACCCGATATTTATGTGTCCAAATAAAATAAATAAATATAAACGTACTTGTTTTATCGGCAAAAAATGAAAGTTTGTGTAAATAAATTTCAGCTACTTAAAAGAAACAAGTAGTAAAAACATCATAAAAATGTAGCAGTCCTCCAAAAAAAATTACATATGACAAATTACGAGACATATATATATATATATATATATATATATATATATATCAATACTCAAACATTTTTTCGTATTGGTGAAATAGAAGGGTTATTATACGTATTACTCAGGGAAACTACTACAATGTGAGATAAATATCATTTAAAATTGTGCATTAAAACAAAATGATAGACCTAGACGAAATATTTGTGCTTTTAGCTTGAATACACAGAACAACTTACTTCACTGGAATTTTTCAAAGTCACATTGACTCTTGTCAGCTCACTCTCAAGATCATTACGCTCACTTTCTAGTGTTTGACAATATTTTTCTAAATCTTGACGAACTTTTTCCTGTCCGGATCTGATCGAAATAAAATGAAAGAAGGAATATTACATCACGTAAATTGTCATATTCTATCAAATTAGTTAACTAATGATAAATGAATCCTGAACAAGACGAATAAATCCAAAATATTTTGGCTTAATGGTTAACTCAGGTACAGATTTAAGTTAGTGATACTACCTGAGTGTCCATACTAAAATCGGCAGAACGAAGTTCGAACGTCCAACTTAGTAATTGAAAGTCAAACATCTTAACTACTGAGCCATCAATTCCAATAACAGGCTGTATGAGTTATTTCTCTACATATTCATAATATCGTTACTAAGAAGTTTAATATATTGCTCAATATTTATAGTATTCTTTTGTAGAAGCAGAGTTGTACCTTATCATTTATGAGTAGTTACAGTATAGTACTTTGACTGACCGGGTCGTAAACTGGAACTATCCTAAAACCACTTCAGTTTTGGTCAAGCAAGTTTTCAATCATAGTACACAAACCTTGAGCTATCGCATAAACATTTTGATTCAGAATCGCTCTAACATATTTCCCTGTTACAATAACCAGTAATTAAAAAATAATAACAAACAAATGAACACGGGATGAATCAATGTATTACTGTTAGGAAGATTCACTATGAGAAGTACATAATGAATTATTTGGTATTCTATAGAAAGTACAAATTTTGGTGAACCAAAACAAATCCAGTTTTTCTGGCAAGTATCTGTAGAAATTTAACTAAATAGTCCTAGAAGAATATTAAAGCAAATAATTGTAACTACAAAAAAATATACTATTTCAATGTATTTCCCAAGCGACGAAAATGGACAGCTATAACTAAAGAAATACATATGACGAAAAATATGAACCGTGAAAGGTTTCATTATAATTAACAAAAGTATACTTTCGGTACAATTAAAGCCAACTTAACCTATCTGACAATATTGTATTTGAGAAACTGAAAGCCTCATGAAAAAAAACACTAACTAACACATATAAGTGTAGATTTTAGAAAAAGGATGTTGATATTGGCATTTGAAGTAATAGAAATGTTATCGAATATACGATTGCAGCAGCATTCACATTGTTTAGTGCACCTTTGGTTTTAAATGATGTCTCTAATGATATTAACCCATGACTAGAGTGATCTATCCTTAACTGAAACTAATCTCCCATAAACCGCTAAACTAGGATATGATCCTAACGTGACAAACTGAACTTAAAAGAAAATTGCGATATTTCACTAACAGGTAGACTTCATCGAAGAAAACGACAAAAAATGAGGTTGGACACTCATTATCACATAAAATGATCTCTTTGTAACAAAAAAATACACACAACATTAAATTTAATAGATAAACGTTAGATCTCAATTGAACTTACATTTGTTCTTTTAAATCATTAATACGGTTACATAAAATTGTTGATAAATTCTCTGCATTTCCAGTTAAAGATAAATCACCTAGAACTTTAGAAATATCTTCAACTAATTGATCACGTTTCAAATGGGCACTATTTAATTCAGTAAGTAATTCTTCTTGTTTTATTCTAGATTCATTCAATTCTATTTTTAATTTATTTAAATAATTTTCAACCTCATTAAGTTTATTGTTAGACTGAAATAAATAAAAAAAATTGAGGATTAAAGTATTTATGTAAAGGCGATAAACTAAATATATGTCACAACATAACCCAATCTTTGTTTCTAAGTATAAAGACGCTTGTAAAGACTCCGGAATTTTGAAGCTTTACATCATCAACTGACTGTAGCTGGACAATTAGTGAAAAGCAACATTTATTTATTTATTTTATTTTAGCACATAGATATTGGTACAAGAAGACACCAAATACATATGCGCCACACAAATCTCATTTGATATGTGTGAGGGCTGGGATACTGCCCGGGTTCCCAAACCGAAACAGGTGGTTTTTTAGGGGGCAACACCTAGAGCCTTCGCATGAAGATCTGATCCACAAGACAGTGGAGCAATGTAAGAAGATGCAGTCCCATGGTAGTCGGTGACCAAAGATTGGTTCATACGCCATTTTTTCCTTCAGGATCCTGGAGCCCATGTACACCATTGATTTGGAATCAGGGTTTTCCAACTCCACTAGGTGGACTGTCCATGTCCACCAACCCGGGTAAAGCGCCGGACATTCGCTTTTCGTCCTCTCAATTTCGTAAACAACACCCCCGCCACGAGAATGCAGTGGGTGGGACTTCCCTGACAGAGACTATATACGCGTGGCCATGTGAGAGCATTTCGAGAGGGAGAGCGGACTCTCCCTCACTCTCGGTCGTACCAGGGTATTTGAGGGCAGTGAAAACCAACACTGCAAATTTACAACATTGTGAGAGACCTGAACCTGGTTTTCAATGACTATCTAGCTACAGTTAATGTAGCCTCAATCAGAACTGGAATACCTGGCAGCAGAAGACTGAATTGAAGATAACATAAAGGAAGCCAGATAGTAATCAAAATAACAACAGAACTAGAGGAATAATAGAGTAGGTAAAGGACAAATATAAAGAAACGAACTCTGATACATAGTCGCAAACCACTATTACATCAGATCAAAATAACCCCTTTAATTGGCCAAACAAAAACACATTGTATAGAAGTGAGATAAAAACTACTACACTACAGCTGAATTGCGTATAATGATTGCAATAAATCTCCATCTATTATTCTTGTGTAGATTTGTTATTAATAACAGTTTAATGATACACGAAAAATGTAACACATATTCGCACTACAGATAAATTCAATGTACACATCGAGCAAGCCGAGAAACTATCAATTGATCAGTATCAAATTCAAATTATTTTGACATCTAGTTTGGCTAGGACATATTCGTTAAGAAACAGTATACACATTGAATGCCAATTATTTACAACAACAAAAAATATATGTTAACAAATACTAAACTATAAAATTTAATTAACATACATTCACTTTATCTTGATTCAGTGCTATAGTTTGTAGTTGAATATTAAGCAATTGCTCTTTTTGTTCATTGAATAGTTCTTCTTGTACTTTAAGTTTTTCCAATAATAACTGAATAGTCTCTTGATTAGTAACAGTATCAACATCATCATTATTGATTTTGTTGATTAATTGTAAATTATTCACTTCTTCTATTTGTACAGAATGAAATGATTCGGCAGCCGATAAAACATTATTCTGTAAATTATGAATTCACCAATAAATGTATAAACAGGAACAAATTAGAAAACAGAATAATTATTGCCCTTATATATAATAATAAAACAAATTGCACACATATAAACAATAGAAATTGAAGAGAATTATCTCAGTCAATGGAACCAATTATTTATATTTATTCAAACCAATATGCATACATATAGACATTTATTAAATATAAGCGGATTAAACTGCATGAGAGATTGACGTGCATTTAAGCAGTAACAAAAGGCAAATAAATACTTTTTTAAAAATGATTGTAGTGTTTGATAACAATCAAACAATTACAAGTGATTATTGAAATACCTCAAACTGTGAAAGAGAAAAAAGCATAATCATTTTGATAATGTTAATCAATAATAAAAAGTAATATCACATTTGGTTAAACTAATAAATACCTGATAAGAATTATTTATCAAGAGTATAAGTATTCTATCGAATCATCACAATCACAAACCATTTTATAATAGTAGTTGAGTAGAAGAATAATGCATACAATTTTCTATACAGTTATCATAACCCCAAAATATTAGAGACAAGGCAAACAATTCAATCAACCGAATCGAAGAAAAAAGAAAGATGATCTATTGTACCAGATCACACATACGTACACATTTAATCATTAGAGTGCACAAGTCGAAAAATGTTCCGTACATCACCACTATTTACGTGTGTACTTTTATAATAATAACAATAAGAAGAAATTGTCAACACACATTCACCCTGTACATAATTCACTATAGTTCATTGTAATTTATGATAATACGTAGAAAAACAAAAGACAATGCATTAATAGAAATGAAAGGAAATACTAATTTCACAGTAAAACAATGCAAAATTCCTAAGATCATTACCGTAAAAAAGTGAGAAATTAACAGATGTAGCATATATAATAGATCGGTTAAGATAGGTTACAGAAAAGACAAATAGGATGAAGTTCCGTTTCAAATCTTCTTTTCTACACATTTAATTGTTTATATTTGTAGAATATCATACTCTTTTCTCAATTAAATATAAAAATATATGTATTAAGATGAATATAGATAATATTTAAGAAAAGAATACCGTGAACAAAAGTAGATAAAGTATTTGAAAGCAAGTGAAACCATATTAGTATTCAGTATTAATGATCCATTGGTGTGTATGTGCAAGTAGATGAATGCTTAAAAAAAGAATTAGTTGTCTTACTTCACATATCAAGAATGAATAATGTCATCACTACAAATAGAAAAATATTAAATAACATTCAGATATTATGGATCAGGAAATATGTGCATGTGTTATCAAATCTTGAATATATATATCGCTACATTATGCAACTAAAATAATAATGAAGTAAGGAAACACAGATTGGTATATTCAGCTGTGGGACAATTTATTTATTTCACAGGAAATTTCGCACAACTAGGTACCAAAAATAGAATGCCCTACATAAAATTTATGTGTTGACTAGAACATTGCCGGGTGCCGAACCAAAGTACGTGGTTTTCTTATGGAACAACTCCCTGAGCCTCTGATCTAGGGATCTAAACCACAAGGTAGAAAAGGAAGGTCATGTGCTTTTATCCTATGGTGACCGGTGACCACGAATGGTTTTATAAGTCACTCGTTCTTTTGGGATTCTGAAACCTATGTACATCATTGGTTCGGAATCAGTTTCCCGACTTATCCAGCTTGACTCTTCGTATACACTACATAGGTTAAAACATAGGACGTTCACTATTCGTTCTCCTATCCACTCTAGGTTAGTAGGACGTTCCTGGCAGAGGCTCTAAAAACAATACAGTATGCGAGCACTTCGAGAAGACCATTTACACTCTCGACCATATCAGGACATTTGTGGATTCTACAACTGTACGGGACAAAACATAACTAAACGTTACGATACGAACGCCAGTAGAAATGACTAAGTGACGTTTGAAACTATAGTTACTAATCCGTCACTTTACATTCAGGTAGAACTAAAAATGCTGAAAAGTTAAAATCAAGAAAACCACTGACGGGAAAGTAAAAAACACCAATGGTGTCAAACAAGACAAAACGATATTCATTTGTGCGTAATTTAGTTTACACTATGAATCCTCATAAATTCCATTAGACAGCGATATAAAAAAGATGGTACAAATTAATCAATACGACAAACTTCAATAGACAATAAATACCTTAAGAACAGATTAACAATATGTACATATAACATGAAATTTATCCAATACTGCAGATGGTGTGTGGTAAAAAAAAAACCTAGTACACCACCATATTGTAGAAACAAGATTCTGCGGTAATTGAAACATCGGAAATAAACAGTTAAGTAAATCTGCCACATCATGATGATTGACAGCGGGGTAAAGATGAAAATAATTTACTTTTCATTAAAAAAAACGAGATTTTGTAAACAAAATGAATCATTATTTGGAAAATTAACAAACAGACAGTTAGTAGACAGAAAATTCATCTTTTCAATCCATCAAAAGCACTGAATAAGAGAGGACAAAATTACATTTGATAAGACAAAACTCAGCCGAAAGAAACAAATCAAAGAGTGCAATCATCAATAGAAACATGACTAGCAATGAGATAGAACTTTTTTTTGGGCAAATAATTTTTTAGGTTACTTTCTTTTATTCAATAACTCTGAGACAACTGCGAAAATTTGCTGACATAAAATGATCACTTGAAGTTATTATTTCGAAATGCTACATTAAAAAATTCAGCTTTTTGTGGTAAAAATAATATGTATACTAAGGTTAATCATTTATGAATCACTAATACTAGTATGACTACTTCGTTGCCCAAGGAGTTCTATGAGCCAAAACACATTTAAAGTATTAAAATTCTCAGGAAAAGCGAAACATAATAGTTTAGCTCTCGCTAATTTACACTGGTAAAATATATGTCATAGAATTGATGCCTAATATGTGCTTGCAATACATAACGACAATATATGTAGATCACAAATATTTAATAACAGTAATAAAGATGGTGAATGAGCAGAAAGAGGCAAACAAGGTAATAAATTTAGTGAAATTATGAAAATCCCGTAGATTGCAATGACGTTATACATGCTCAAACACTGACGACTTCAAATTAGTGGGGAACATTGGTTGAAACAAGAAGTAGGTAAACTTGTAAAATTTCTAGTTAAGATCTGTTAAGTAGTACAGAAAATGATTAGTAAAAACAACTATTAAATAACATATATAGATAATGAAAAGCGATTAAATGGTTCTTATTGACTAGTTTAACAACAGAATAGATTATACAGTGAGGTCGTTTCGACCACATAGTACCAGGAATCAAGATATGAAGTATATAATTTTCTGTCTCACTAACCAATGAAATAGAGTGTTGTTTCCTACTTTACCAGAGAATGATTGGTGTGGAAACGAAGGGACAATCAAGTATGAGACATTTTGCAAATGAAGTATTTTTGTATGGTTCTCAGATTTTACTAAGTGATTCTGTAATTTTGTATTCAAATACATTCGATTGTGCCCACTGTTGTTCTCGCTCACTACACTGCATGCTAAACGGAAAATGTGACGTACTACAATTCTACTTCATAGTTCCACGGTATAATAATCGTTACGACAAAAAAGCTATTCATTACTTCTCAGTATCCAATGCTTATTTAGATTATGTCAATTCTCTAGGGAAATCATTTACAAATCAGTAAACCATTCTCCAGATTTATTTTCAACAGCAAAGAATAAGATCTTATCATTATTACACAAACAATCGATCCTATTACATGACAATTCTGGAACTTAGACGTTTTCACAATTATTACTGTTATGATTAATCTGTCAGAGATATAGCACAAAACGATACTACAGCTATGGATACGAAAGTATTTAATGCTGAAATGTTGAGAATGAACAATATTTTAAACAAGATTTAGCCTATTCATTTTTTCACTATCCATGGTGATAGTACATAACACAAAGTTTTTGACTAAATTATGGATAATTGTTATACAATCATATGAAAAAAAGGAAATGACTAAATTGAATAAAAATGTACCATACTGTTATTTTAAACACTTTCCTTTATTATATCTCGTTTTTTCTAAGTTTAAAGAGTGATTATGTGTTTAATGTGAATGGATAAATTATTAAACATCATCATAATGTTTTCGTTTCTTTAAGTCATATAGCATCGATACAACCCAGTATTGTGATATGCACGTAAGAGTGGTTGCTGATACATAAAACTGTATATTAATATCCAGATAATCAAAAGATTTAGTCATCTGACTGATAATTATTGCAGGACATACCACTAAAATGAGTGATTATCCAGGTCGAACTAAGCAAATGTATTTATAAGAGTTGCTAAGAATCTTTTTAAATGTTCATAAATCAATGTAGCAAGCATAGAAGTTGAACATTCTTTATGTCTAAAAACTATTTCAAGCCAAACCGAATACTTTGTAGTGAAACAATCTTAACATTGATGGGTTTCACTATTGTTCACTTTCCAATGTAGTATTCTTCAACGTTTATTGCTTGTTAAGCAAATGTTTATATGAAATACGTGTGTGAGTAAATGATGAGGGATTTATTATCTAAAGCTATTTCGCATTTCTCATAATTTACAAATTCTAGTAAAGTTAGTAATTAATTATCTCAATGAAGAGTTACGCCTATAGCAGAATAAAATTCCGATATCTATTAACATAGAGTAATCGAACTTAGATGAAAGTTCTCACATTCTTTGCTAAGCGTATGTGGGTTGTGAAATAGAAGAGGTAAGAAAAGAACACTATATCAACGTATATAATAACTAAAATGTCAAGAATATTTGTCAGAAACGAAAAATATTCTACGAATGAAGAATATAATATGAAGGTTATTAGTGATGTTTTCGACATCATAAGAATAATGGTAAACTTCAAAATATTCAAGACAAATGAAAATTGAATTATTCTCTGTTTATATCTGTTCAATAAAAGATTCAGATGAATATCAAGAAGGAATATATGTGCACCGATATAACCTACTTTGAACAATTGTCTGAAGCAGTACTCGTTTTCCTATATGATACACACCGACAATGAGTAGGTTTGTGAACTGATGTTATATCTTCGATGGACTTAGTCCTACAATAACTTAAATAGAACGCTAGAAAAAGAGGCATTAGCTGAGTGTAAACGACATACGAAACACTAAGAAATTTTCTAAACAATTATTACAAATTTCCTTGATGTAATAAATAACAATGACAGAGGACAATGTATTCCATCAAATTAAAACTACGATTTATTAGCCCAATAAATAAGTATGCTAACCTTTTTTGGTGTTATTTAGGAGTTTCATCAATACAAACGACTAGTTTATACAACGAATTATAATGACCACTATTTTAGAAAAGGAAACTCAAGTTAGTGGCAAAATAATAATTTAATAAAAAGATTACGATCAAGTATTTCTTTTGTTTTAGAAAAAAGAAAGATGTAGATATTTCAAATATCATAAATGATTGATTAGTCTGTAAGTGGTCGGTTGCACTCGTAAAATAATCACATATCTCTTCTAGGCTGAGTGATGATGATGATGAGAATGAGAATGACGACATTGCTTTTCAGTTTGTTTGAATCAATTACAAAAAAAGAATGTAAATGTACAAATACAGTGTTTCAGTGTTGATTACACATGGATTATGAGGTACACAATAGAATGGAAATAGTTTAGGTCAGTACAACTTATTAAAAGTAATTAAAATATCATATTGTCAGTATTCATTAATATTAAAATGATGAGTAAAGCACTCTCTATAATACTCTACAATAAAAATAAAAATGAATAAAATTTACCTATGAATTGTGTAGGATTTGGTCAGTGGTTATAATTTATTTGATTCGGAAGAATATTTAATTATATTACTAAGCTTATTGAATCATTTACAAGTGGTTTGAGGTAGGAATTAATTGATCAAAATTTAATATTCAAGTACTATAAACAACTTAACTATATACTTCATAATTTCTATGTGAATCATGAGAAAGATTCAAGTGAAAATTTCAAATAATTGACAAGATTGAAATAGGACTGTATTCATTTTATAAATAAACAATGAAACTATTTCAATGCTAACAACTATAACAAACGATTTCATTAGTAGAAAAGCAAATAACCAAATAAACAACGTGTACAGTAATTTGAAAAGTATTCTACAATACATTTCATTTACCTGATAATCAGTTAACTCTTGCATAGTTTTATTTTGTTGGTCTTTTAGTTTGTTCAAATTTTCACTGGTCATCTGGGACTGATTAGAAGATGAAGTTGATTTAGTTTTCTCTGCTTCTAATAAATGATTCTATATAAATAAGTAACAAAATATATTTAACGACTTATATATATATATATATATACTAGTCGGTCAGTCAAAATGTAGAACATGGTACACATGTATATCAGTCCAAGTTGCCATACATTATTAGCAATGAGAGATTGAAAGTTTCAAGCCAAATCTCGGAATAGTAGAGGCAGTAACAGTATTAGTAGTAATATAAAAGATTAAGCATCAAAGATACGATTTTTAAGAAATTTATAAATTACTAAAATAAAAACAAAATTCATGAGGAATTTAGAATCTCAAAATTTGGCAGATGACAAAAATGGACGCATCTGCTCCGTTGCTGTTGATTTCGAACCATTTTATCCAAATCAATTGACTTGTGTGACGCATATGTATTCCATGCCCCTTTGTACCAATATTTATGTGTTCAAATAAATAATAAATAAAAAATACATAGAAAAAAACCGCCTAGACCAAAATAACATTACATTGACATGACTAGACCTATTTCAATTTCGATTGTACTAAAAATACTCTGCTTCATATCCTTTGTACAATTTAAACTTGTATTAATCAAATTCGGTTATTTTTATTCTCTGAAGAAGTGGCTTACACCAAGTCACGAAACGTCAGAAATTTAACTTTCTACTTATTGGAAATTTATATATTATTTTTATTACAACTAAAATCTCTAAATAATGAACTGCTTCCTAAATGTCGAATGTAATTAACAGACACTAGACTTATTTACAAAGTCCAAGTTTATATACATGGGCGTGAGTTATACTTTGTGTATGGGTCAGTCACACTCCCTGACTGCTCAAACCCATGCAAATTCAACCATTCCACTCTAAAAGGTATTCAAAGACACCACAACAAATAGATAATGGTGTAAAAACAATAGCAAGATTATATGTATTTTGGTTGTTTGCATCTCCCTATCGATGGTTAGGACTGAAAATGACCAATCACTTTTAGTATGTGGATCCTACGCAGACTGCCTCAATATTGACGTTAAGCCACGAACATTTTAGACAGATGTGGATATTGCTTGGCAGTATAATCCAGGACGAGAGTTTCGTCCTGTTGAAGTCCTAAATATTAATGGGAAGATCCAAAAAGCCAATACATATAAATTAAAATTCACTTCACTATACAAGTAAGTAAATATCTGGACTCAGTAACAATCAGGTAACAATAAATAACATCTAGCCCAAAGGATAGAACGACGAAAGAAAACAAACCGAACATCATTCACAAGATAAATTGCAGCAATTCTAACGCAAACACTATGTGGGACAAAGTGGCTGCTCTCTCCGTCTACGTTTACATGAACAGCAATTAACAGTTAAACACTACAAAATAGCTTCGCTTATATCAACGCACGTGGACAATTACGGACATGGAATTAATCAAGGGAAGGTCGGAAAATTGGACAAATAAAACAAAAAGAAAGTTAGACTTTAGAAGCATGGCACTCTAGTCAAGTACCGATCAATAGGCATATCAAAACTGGTCAAAGCTCTCAGACAATAAGAAAAAGGAGTCACAACAAGAAGGTTAGAGATCAAGTTAGGCGAGAAAACAAGCAATACAAACAACGACTACTTAGTCATGAACAACACTCAACCAAATCCCAGGTCAACAGAACAAGCCGTCAGTCAATAATGACGAGATTCTGATAGCTCACTTCTATCTAAAATAAGTACCAATGATGCCAAGGATCACTGACTGACTGACGTTGGGCAAAATGTTTCAGAATTAGTCACAGTGGAATTCTATATCTTGAATTTCAATATTCCTTCAAACATACCTTTCCGTCACTTCTTTTCGAATCATATTCTTAATGTGGCTTTTCGCATGATCACTACTACAATATTATTCCGATTCATCTGCCACTCATTTAGGGAATTTCATGTTGTTGTGCTGAATTAATCCAGAAATCGTTCTAACGCACATTTTTACAAGCCTCAACACTGTTTATAACTGATTAACACTGAGTCACAAGGGTTTGAATTTCATGGACTGCATCAGCTCCCTCTCAAACATATACGCGCCTTGCTGACCAGTCTCAATTAGTATAAAACTTGGATCCCGAGCATCCTGTTGACTGCCTCTAACCACGTAACATAGACAAAACCTTAAATAGATAATACTGTTAAAACATACTTACCAACTCTTTAATCCGATTTTCAAACATGGATAACTTTTCATTAGCAATTTTTTCTTGTTCTGTCAGTTGTTTATTTAATTGATCAATTTGACTCTTTAAACTTAGGACTAATTCATTATTCTGTTGTTTCAGTAAATTATTCTCGTTTTTGAATGCTTGAATTTCACTAAAATAAGGAAACAGACCAGTTGTAAAAAGTATGAATGAATTCTTATTATGAAACGTTATAAGTTAGATAAACGTTGAAAGTCATATATTACTGAATAACATATATAAAGGTCGAAACAAATGGTGTAGTTTAATTTATTACGTGGAATAACCAAGTTGTGTAGTGAACTGACGACGGAAAACAGTAACAAATAAATAGCAGTTTAATAATAACAATATCCATAGTCAAAGATAAAAAATAACATTCACGTTTTATGTTTAAATCGTATCCTTTGCCCAGATGACTTCAATGGAATGGTGTGAGGTAGTTGGCTGTAGCTGAGACGAAAACCTGGACATAAGTTTTGCGATATTGAGAGTTCTTCAGTAATGTGTATTTGTAATCGTGAGGGAACCGGTGTTCCCTAGCGAACTTAGTCATCTAGCTTCATAGTCTGAGACCTTATCACTGAACTATTCGTGCAGCGACTAACGTCCTGACAAATTTTTACAGCTGATCAGCCATTAAGTAGCTATTGATGTCATGTCTGTCTAGTTCTTTAGTGTCAATCGAATTCCCGACCGTTGTTGCCACCTTGATGTGGTGGTCGTGCTTACCTATCGTGATGAAGCAACCGAGCTATATTGGCTGGAACAACCGTTCCTCAAAGTTCTACCACGTCAGACGGGTCGGTTGAAGAGCGGTAAGACTAAAAGCAATAAACCCAAGGTCCGAAGGCGAAGTCATACTGCTGACTGTACAGAGGTGTGGCGGCAGTAGGGTGTTTCCTTCAGACAACCAGCATGACAGCGATGCTGCCTTCCCACAAGGAGGGGTGGGGTTAGAAAAGATCCACCCTAAAAATGCACACCTCGCCTTATCCCACGGATATCCGTCTCCGGTGGTAAGGTCTCAACGAGTACGGAGCTAACACGGAAATTACTCATAAAAAGTCGTGTGTGACCGACCTCAAGCAGTTGTCCCTTGAGCACTTCGGTCATGCTCTCGGATCACCAAGACCACCTCTAATTCAGTTTCCTTTTCAGGTACCTCCAGAACAACCCTTCCACGGTGTGGGCAACCGGGAAGTGATAACCGCCCTCATACCTCTAACAGAACTCAAGACGATCGAATTTTATCAATCGAATTGCGACGCGGTCACTAGTTTAGGTGGCTGGGCTTAACGTGCACAAGTATCGAGAAGAAATTCAATCGAAATACCCACGGATCTCCACAAATCACAGTCAGTCAGATTGAAATTGGGGTAAAGTAAAAATATGAGGCAATCTAAGATGCCATACAATTTCGACATTGCAATGAGAAATTGACGTAATGAAAAGAAAGAGTCGAAACCTAATAACTAATTTTAATTCCAAATATTAATAAAGAACTATTTGTTGCGTCATGTTATATAATAATATTACGATTGAGGTTAGGGATTGAAGTTAACTAAACAGTAGGAAAGTATGGTGAAAATGAGCGAGGATTACAGGTTACCACTAATTTAAAGGGAAGAGAGTAGGGAAAAACTAATCATTTAATGTTATAGAAATAAACATTTACCTAACGGTAGCTTGGTCAAACATTCAGCCCGCTCCCTTATTTTTCAGCTGTACAAATATTTCAAGTAAACTGTCTACTTATGATTTGTTTGAACTGAAAATTTATGAAAGTTGTATGTACTTACGAGTTATTATGAAATAACTACAAATTATTGTTAGTGTAAGTACTGGAAAACTCAGACAGAAACACCAGCTATTGGCACATCTCCTTTATGATTTATTCATTGACAAAACGAGAGACAAGAATCTAAGAATTCAAGTGTCTTATATATGATAAATGGAGAAATCTATATATTGGCTGACACTTGTAATAGAACATTGACTGTTGAAAACACTTTTAAAATATGCTTTAAATAATGGCGATTTGAATAAATGTTAAGGAGATTATTTATTGCAATATTGTGTGATTGGTGATGAGAATTCTTCGTTGTTCCAAAATCCATAGTATCAAATCGAACGATTACTACTGCTGTTAAAATCTTTTTAAAATAACTTGGTAAATCACAGGGATAAGACAAACATACTTTGAAGAGTTCTGCAACTGACAATTTAGTTTTTCAACTTGTCCATTAAACTCAACCGTTAATGACTCAATTGTTTCAGCTTGATGCTTTAGCATAATTTCTGCTTCAGCCTGACGCTCAGCCAACAAATTACGCAACCGTTCACATTCATTTTGGAAAGACTCGCCTTCGTTTTCAGTTGGAGTAATAGATGTCTCAGATACAAGCCCAGTGAATTGGAGAGATGGTTTTCCCTACATGTACGAATTGAAAATATATAATATGAAGACTGGAAAACATAATTGCAGTGACAAAAACTGACAAAAACAGTATTATCACAACTACAATTTATGTCAACTGGTTGACTGATAGAATGAAGAACATCATGAAATAATATGGAAACTCAAAATGTCGAACACTTGAGTAACGTAAGAATAAACAACACGATCACCCAAGGAATAAAATGCTTGACATGAACCAGTAGGAAAGAAATAACCGATCGTGAAGCAATGGGACTTATGATATGGGGTCACTTATCTTTAATAATAAGTAAAGTACATCGTATAATCGACATCTTTTTACATGACCATATCAAAACCTACAACTTTATTGATTTATGTCATTTTCTCTTCTGTCAATGGAACTTTACAATACTCATAAAGAAATTTTACCTCAAATAAAACAAGGTTCAACAACGCACAAGCAATTTGGAGAACATGAAGAAAGGAAACACATCTTTACATCTCCTACTCTTAAATGCTGTTACGTCATAAAGTAAAAAGAAAGTAGGCTAATGAAATTTGAAGAGTACATGATAAATAACATACATCGTTTGCATAAAAGTAATCTATATTTAACCGTCTCTTAAATTAATTGCAGTTCTGTACCATAAGTGAAGTAGTGAATATACACATATTTAAATGTTTATGAACCTAGAGATTATCTTATACACTTCGATTAATTTGTGTATTGATACGCATGAACGCAAAAATACTAATCGTCATTATCATGTTGTGTATACTAAAATCATAAACAATGGATATTCTGTCACAAAAATCAGTGTATTCAATTCAAAAATAAATCTCATCCTATTACTATTCTGGCAGTATCTCATCAATATGCGCGGCACAAAAAGATAGAGACAAAAGTAAGTAAACGAGAGAGGAGGAGAAAGGTGACAGAAATTTTTGCTCATTTACTTTAAGGTAAGAAGAAGTTCAGCTAGATTCGTGATTATGTAATGGTACATGGATTAATACACCACAAAAAAACAATACTCAGTAGTTGAGAACAAACTGAACAGTCTCGAGTGAAATGCATACTCTGAACTGAAATAGGTGAAAAGATATTTTGAGAGAGTAAAAGTGAATGAAATCGTTGAATTCATAATTATTTTGACAAGAACAACTTTCATTTTCTAGCATGTGACGGTTATATCTTAATGAACGCCATGTTTGACATTTCCTTAAAATATTTGATGCTTTCAGACTCATCGGACAAGTGGCTCTTTATACTAACATGACATAACCTACTGATAAACAAAGCAAATTTTGTATTTTTATCAGAGAAAATAAGATGATACCACCAATAATATCAAGCCATAGACTATATGTAAGAACAGAACATAATGATCTGTATAACTGTTGATAGATCCTGCTTCGGTTTGGGCGCCCGGGCAGTATTCCAGCCCTTACATAAATCGAATGACAAAGTGTGGCGCATATATATTTGGTACCTCCTTGTACCAATGTTTATGTTTAAATAAATAAATAAAATGTTGACAGATAATATTTCATTAGCACTCAACTACAAACTATAAGCAATGTTGATATTATTGTAAAGCGAAATATTTAAATGCAAATGTTCATATCGATAACTATTGGGGATAAAACTGTACGACAAAAAAACAACTTCCAATGTTTAGTTCACTTGCCTGAATTTGAGATTTGTTTTCATCACTTTGATTTGACACATTCGTTTGTTTTTGTAAAAGATCATTTAATTCTACTCGTAATTTATTTAATTCTAATTCCATACGTTCATTCGTTTCACGAGCTGACATTAAAGCTTCTTCCAGTTCAAATATTTTCGATTCATCGTCTGCATTCTGTGATTCAGTCGTGCTCTTGTCAATGTTTTCTTCTTCTATTCGAAATTGTAAATCTTCAAGATTTCTATTAAAATTTTAATGAATATATTAAAAATAAAACAATAAATAGTTATACTTAGTTATGAAGAGTTTTATTAAACAGCCAAGTATGACAAGATATAAACCTTTTTTGGTGTTAAAAACTCCAGATCAAAGTTTCGTGTTAAATGTCTTACACCACTAAAACATACCCGTAATCTTAAACGAACTGATGTTCTTAATATGCCTTGATATCAACTGGAGCAAATGAATAAACATGAAAACTTACCAGTACAGACAGGTAGAAGGCCGAGAGAGTCCAGTCCAGAGAGAATACATGCTGAAGTAAATATACACGGTAAGTGAGAAATAAACGTGAGTGAGTTGTTTTTTTAATTCTCGTTGACCGCTCACATTTGTATCTGGATCCATTCATTGTTTTGCATATATACTTATGATTTATGAGTGGAGTGGCGGCTTAATGGTTAAGACGTTTAAATTTCCACTGCTAAGTTCCAGGCTTGAGCCTCAATCCATTCACTTCGGTTTAAAGCAACTGGGCAACCCTCACTAGCTCATACCAAAGTACCTGGTGAATGAATCAATTACATTTATATTGTCACAACTTATGTGCATATTTATTCACCCTGTAGTATAAGGATTCTATGTATTTTTAGTCTTGTTTTGACTAGCTAGTTGAGCAGACAGCAGGAAGCGCGTATTGTAGTCGAATATGACCACAAAACACTTTTTCTACTCAAACACAAAATATTTGCATATGATAATTCAAACGTTCCAATAAATAGAAAGTATAGTAATTTAGAAGTGTGATGAAAAAGAAACATATACAGGACAACAATGAAGAGTAAAAAATCAGATCATAAGTGAATAAATAATTGAGTTATGTTGCATGAATTAGTTATACATAATAGACTTTAAGGTCAAATTGTACAGTGAATATCACACTTGTTTACTGAATAAAGTTGGGCTGTATTCTGAACTTCTCAAGGACAAAGTTAATTAGGCATAGTAGAGAAAAAGGTAAATTAACTATATATATATATATATATATATATATATATATCTGCTTCGGCCGATTAATTCATCTGAAGGGTGTTTACACCATGAACTGAATTCAGCAGGACAATCATTGAAAACTAAGAAGCTATACCATTTTTATCTAATGTTAATCAGTAGAGCGCACCCGTGAAGCTACCTAAAAAGGGGAGCCAGGACCTTTAAGCTTATTTTCCAGAGCGTTACTGTAATACCTCCAAGTTGGTATCCAATGGATCACGTGAATGCATCATGTATAAACCAAATCTAGTGTCGACTACTGACTTACTAATTATGTCAAGCAAATATCAAAAGAAGAAAACGATATCATATGAATCTATCTCTCTTGTAAAGTTATAATTTTGTTTCAATCGAATGAATTTTACTTTTAACAATCGTAATTTTCTGTTCACTTCACTACATGAACGCTTATTTCAAGCTTCGATATATTTTGTCATTTTCTTAATCGAAACACCAAAACTTTGTTTTAATTATGATAACTAATTCTAGCAATTTACTAAATATTTTTAATTTGATTTTCAGCATGCATAAACTTCCTCAAACTATCTCTACGTTTAATTAAAAGAACTTTTGATACATTAAATTTGTATGATGTTTTTTAAATATTATCTGTTGCAAGTAACTGATGGCAACCGATTGGACTGAAAAGAATTCATTTCAGTTCACGTCGTTATTTTTGTAGACTGTCAACTGCATATAGTCATAAATCCTCAGTAATAAATATGAAATATACGTTTTAAATTCAAAAATATACATAGTCCTCGTTCAATACTACATCAATATCTGTAGTGAAAAGTTAAATTGAGCGAAGAAATTTATAAATCAAGTTATTAGTGCTCAGAACCCTCAATAATCCCTTGATAAAAAACTTTAAAAGTCGTAAGATTGGAGAGAATACTTTGACCAATCAGTGTTTATTAAGAAACTCCAAGAGAATTCAAGAGAACAGAATATTGTGTTATATCTTCAGTTTGTCACTGATTTTAGCACATTTCCGAGAAGCTTCCAGAAGCTTAGGGTTGTGAACTATATATAACAACCTTGGAAGTTAAACTGTTTTCATAGTTTTCGTTTATTGTTTTCCTGTTTGAAATTCAGAAGTAAAAGGTTTCTGGATAGCGGTTAAGAAGTCTATGTCTAAGTGTCTAAGTACTAGGCATAAAAATTTGTACACAAAATTTATACTCAAAGATGACAATCACATAACTGTCTACTTGAACGTTATGTATAAAATACTTATGGGAATTCATGTTTGCTAACGATGACCTGATGTTTGTGAAGCTGAATACAAGAAAACACAGATTCAAGAACACCATTTACAGTCAACAGTACTACGTCATATATCGAGTTAAAGTAACAGAAAAACGAATCTGAGAGACAAATAACTCAAACAAAGAAGTTCAACTAACTACATGGTGAAAGTATGCACATATGGAATTAGAAGAACCTTACATGAAAAAAACCATATGCAACCATTTATGAGTTCAACAAGGCTGCTCTGTTAATAGTAAGAATAGATGAAGATAATCGAACAGGTGATCAGATATGTAAATATTCTTATTCTAGTTCAACTTAGAAAACTATATGTTGAGTAAAAATGGAGTGTTAGACGCAATTCGGTTAAAAAGAACATATATCATCAATTTAACAAGTCATTAATTGTTAATTTAAATTATCCAAAGGACGAATAACGTTTCTACTTAGATTTCACAAGACACCATTAATCAGTAGATAGATGACGGAAAATATGTAAAGTCTGTTCCCCAATATAAATGTTGAAAATTGAACTCAATCTTCATATTTACTTGGTTTTATGCTTTCTTTCATCGTCTTTCAACTTCATCACACTATTTTTGATATCACTATTTCTATTTCATTCTTTTTATTTAAGGTAGCTATGACGACGTTAATTGTAACTATTTGGATTAGTACACATCATTGTATTTTTTTGTTTTATTTTGAAATATGAATTTTCCATTATAACTGGATAATATCTATATCAATGTTTTGAATAAACTTGATTTTATAGAATAAATAAATAGAAATTATTAAAATATCATTAACGAAAGAACACATCCGAGAGATTTCTCACTTTCGTTCTTCATGTAGCTTAATTGTTGTTTGCTCATGTTCATCGCGTAAATGTTGAAGAACAGCTTCCATATTTTCCAATTGTTGGTTCAATTGTTGTATCACAGCTTGCTGATTCAATGTTTCAGCTTGAGCCTTTACAAATATGATTTGTTTATTATTAAAATACGAGAAAAAAACACCGGTCAATTTAGTTAAATTAATTAAAATGATAATACGTGATAAGTTCAGCGATTTATCATAGCAGTGGTGGTAGTTCTAAAAAGATTAGGACAATGTATAAATGTCTAAATCATTTTTAAGTCGATACCAAATATAATGCGCAAAATTGTATAAGCAATAATGATTGTTAAGACAAAACTTGTAGAAACAGGTACAAGTTGAGAAAAGATATTTTAAAGTATTAATTAATCACCTGAGCAATTTGGTGAATTAACCACAATTACTTATTTCCTTAGATATACAAAATAAGTGATAACATTCACGCCCATTGATTACACTCATAAAGGCTGTAATCAGTGTTACTGAGTAACTTGAAGATCACTAACTATATTATTACCGCATACTATTTGCATAGGTGCATATATGTGATAAATCTTCTAAATGAACGCTTGAATCGGTTTGCTAGGCTTTTCTAATAACCCCAGGTTAAAAAGTACTAGTTCAACTAATGTTAATTTATTTCGGTCACTTATTTACTCTGAAGAAGTGGCTGACATTAAGTCACGAAACGTCAGGAATGCACTTCATCTACTCATTAGGATATAACAGAAATATTCACTAATAAATATATCCTATGTTTCCATTTAAAGAATGTGTAGCTTACATACTTTACACCACAGCAGTAGTAATTGTACAAGACTAGTAGGACCTTGTGTCTGTTCGTGAATTTAGGACATGGTGCCATTGAATAGAAAACAATTCTGTGTTAATATATATATATATATATATATATATATATATATAAACTGCCTGAATGGGATCTTAAAGATTCTGCAAGTTGGTAGATTGAAACGTTATCAAACAAGGTTCCTAATAAAAGCCATTGATGATCCAACTGCAGTTTTCTGTTATAACCGGACGAAATTTACGACGACTTCTTTTTTACTTTAAAGTTGATTTTTTTTAACACTATTTTTCTTGTTTCTTTCTACAATACCGCCATCTTTTATTCACTGATATCATTTTCACTTTATTCTACTTGATGTACATCCTTTTTTATTGTACTAAGCTTATTATATGCTATAAATTACAAAAATATTATTAATACTTCTACTGATTGTCAGTAAAGATTGAATTATCTATGAAATAATTGTCTTAGGTTCAATTCCTGGAAAAGTTGTGGTTGTTCACTAGTGGGAAGTCCCATATTAAGATGAGACAATTATCAAGTGTTCTATCCTTATCAATAGCGTTTTAGCTGAGATCAGTCTATGACGATACTACCTATAAATAAAATTAATCAATACAAAACCCCTTTACTTAATTAAGAAGTTTCATTTTTTCTTTAGATTCATTATACAGTCTCGATTCGAAAACATAAATAAATATACTGCATGGAGTAAATAAAGTTATGCGTATATGTGAGAAGTGTACTGAACGATATCAACTCTTCAGCTGGTTTTTTATGTATAAGTGAAATGAATACAACAGAATAATAACTTATTCAATGTTTGTTTCTATTGTCTTTAATAAAAAAATAAGTTACTTTTCTAATATTTGAGGACGACCACTAATTTCTCAAAGTAATAATTGAATTGTTGCTTGGTTAAGTAGTAAGACCTTATGTATAAAAACTACGGCGAGACCATAATTTATAGACTAATAAACGTAATTAAGGATATCAGATCTTGGATTTTGGCGCAAAATTCATTCATCCATACAGTTAAATAGCATTATAGTTAATGTCTGTTCGTGATGAAAACCCTTGCTTTAATTCCTAACACTAAATTTTAACTCTAAATCTTAATCCTAAATCCTCATACTAATTTATAACCCTCTTTTGATCCTACTAAGTAGGTGCATTGTCTCATGGCTACTTTATCGTCGCTCACAGGTCGACCATAAATTACAGTCTCAACAAAATTACTATTAAATATCTAGTTTGGGTACATTACGTTAACTGTTGAGAAAAAGTTTGACTAAAAAAATTAATTGATTGGTAAACTCTTTCTCTATGTGTACACATGTATGAAGAAGTTGCACTAACGATCCATAGAGTCATTTATAATAAAATAATGGTTTAATTACTAGATACACTACATTTAACAACCAGTCGCCAACATTCTTTAATTTCTAATTCTTTTATTTTAGTGTGAATTAACTATCCGAATATTCCCGTGATAAACTATATCTTCTGAATAGTTGGAAAAAATTTATGGACTGGTGTCACGTTTTGATTTGGCCGCCTCTTACTTACTTCCATTCATCCCCAAGGATAGTCAGCGTTGCTCGTCGTGGTAATCGGTGTTCAGGCATATGTAACACAGCCAAAACTGTATTACCAATAATTATATGCTCAAAAGTGACTAGTTTAAAGGTGGATTACCCAAAGTTATTCAGAAAAAAGCTATGATCTCTTTAGTCAACAAAGACACTGAATCAAGAGAGCACTATATCATTTATCTGCCAAATTTTAAAAAATAGTACTGTTTGATTCGCATTTATTGACCAACTGATATCGTGCTCTCTATGAGAGCTAAAACTCCTAGGTCCGGATTTTTGTACGATGATGGATGACCACTGATATACAGGCTTAAACTCAGATTAACTTTCAACTATTTGTTGACTGATATATACTTCAATGGTTAAGATCATGAGTCAGTTGAAGCTAGACCACCATGGAAAACCTGGAAGCACTGGACGGCCGTTTCATCCTATTGTGGGACTCCTCAGCAGTGCGCATCCACGACCTCACTCCCTGCGAAATCCGAACCCAGGACCTACTGGTTTCGCGCGTGAGCACTTAATCATTAGACCACTGAGCCGGCATCCAACGGTGTTAATGTCTAACTTCAACTAATCCACGAAATTGAGCGACACACCCACCATTGTCTTCAGTAAGTTACTATCTCACAACAGACCTGGTTGAACTCCACTGGTCACTACTTCTCACTAGAACTCCAGGATATACCACGTGAAGCCAGTCACTAGTGAGCATATTTTGATTAATATCAGGTTTTCCATGGTGGTCTAGCTTCAACTGACTCATGATCTTAACCATTGAAATTACTATAATATCCACAAAACCCATCTGATATATATTTGTAAGGAAAATTACTTACGAAAGTGCAGGCTATTCATACTGTTTAAAATGAGACGGCCTAATATTAACTTGTTTGTTGTAATTGACATATAAAAACAATATTTTCAAAGAATAACCAAAATGTTAAAGTATTGTACTGAACATATAATACTGAATAAAGCCGTTGTTATTACTATTATTGTTAAATTTGCTGAAATCTACAATAAAGTGTATTTATAAAAGCATTGACAGAAATGGAACTTAATTGATCATGGAACGACTGACACATATAACTAAAATATAGGTGTTTACATTTTACTGTTTGCCAGTTATTTCAGATAATTATGTAAGATTAAGGGTGAAACAATGTGTTGGTCAAGTCCCCCTTACTCATTTCTCAATCGAACACATATTGATTTCTCGACTAAATAAAATACTGCAGAAGATATTTTAACACCCTCTCTACAACATTAGTAGTTTTTAATGAATTTTAATAAGTGACTATTTTAATCAATTATGGATATCTGTTTGTCATGAACTATTGTGAACAAATGAATATATGACAAACTAAGATGGGATTTCGTCACATAGTTTCACAATGAACAGCAAATCTTGTAAACCGAAAGATCTGAATCAAGGTGTCGACCAGTCTCTCCTGGACTAATTGATCAAAAATGAAATGATTTAGAAAATTCCACTATCCTAGTTGAATCTAATCTGGCCTGAAAAAGAGATGTATATCATCGAGTGTGTGCAGTTTAAACTGGCTATTCATATTATCACGTTATCAACTACTAATCATGGATATAAATAGCATGCAGAGTGAAAACAATAACAAACAGCTATTAGGCGTCCTTATTGTTGGCAGTGGCTTATCGATATGAACTAGATACAGAGAGGGGGAGAGAGGAAAAAACAGTAGAATCAAACAAATTGTACTTGCCATTTCTCTTTCTAAAGTAACTTTAGCTAAGTCAGAACGTTCCATTTCACGTTCTTGTAAAAGTTTCTCGATATGTGCTTCTTTTTCCTTGACTAAACGCTATAGAAAACAAATAATACACCGCATTAATAGCGAAGTGATGACATCACATAATATCAGTGTAAAAAAACAAAAAAAACAGAAAAAGTTAATGGTCTCCATAAACTGACAGAAGCTATATGAAAGCGATTAATAATAGTAGTGTTAACTGTAACTCATTAAAAAAGTATATAATTATGTCCAACAGCTGATGCCCGAGCACCGCATAAGTCGATCCATGATGTTAGCTGGTCTAGGAAGAAGTTTGGAAAAGTTATAGGTGGCAAAACCAATACGTAGCCTTAGTTTACGAAGTCCCTAAGTAATGATCCGAGCAGCGTCGATAGATGCATACAACATCGTTGGGGTTTACATGATAATCACGATCAAGATTATAGCAACCGAAGGTTAGAGACCTTGAATGACATGGCTCAAAATCGTTTGCAATGGCACGGGTACATCCACTCTTTGTGTTCTCCCAAATTCTAATCTTCTGAATTCTTTATGTCTTTTTTTTCTCTCTCCAAATTTATTTCATTGGATTATACTCCTTGAATAACATCTTCAAACCCTAATGTTTCCGACTACTGCTTATACTTTTACTACCCCTACCACTACGGGATTTGAATCGACCACTGCATCTCTGTGCTGTTGTATGGCAACCCGAACTGATGTACGTACGTACGAAGTTCTACGTTGTTATTGACTGACTGTCTGGCTGACGGATAATCACGATCAATGGTAGAAAAATTTCAACGACATGCCTCAGGATCAATCACAGTGGAACAGTATATTCGCATTTTCGTTCTGTGGTTTCGGACCGTATTCTCAGTATTTAGTCTTACGCAGCATCACTGCCACTACACTGTCCAAATTTCTTTGCTGTTTTTCTAATGTACCTCATAGTGCTAATGCAGTATGGTAACATGGGCCAACATGTATGTGTCAGGCTCTACGTTGATCACAACTGACGTACTCAACTTTGAACTAAAACTGTCTGTTTAAGGCCTGGTGATTTTATGTGGTAGCTCAAACTATGATAATTAGAGAAATATCCTAACTTAAAACCTACTAGTTAATTTAATTGTTTGTATCACTTAAGGATCATACCAGACAGAGTTTGAACAGCTGTTCTGTCATTGTATTTCACTCAAGAGTATTTCATGTTACAATCCAATTTCAACAAATTCTAAAACTTACACGAGAGCCATTGATTACGTAAATACATACAAATTGTACATATTCCTTGTCTATTTAAGTGTCTATTGAACGTATTTTATCGGCGAAGACGGTGTCAAAATTCAAGGAAAATTTTATGTTAAAGTCAAGATATTTAGTGACAAAATAAAAAAGAAATGAAAGTCTATCACTAATTGATTAAGATTTCATCGATACGTTTTGATTTCTTAGAAAATCATTTATACACAAGCCAGCTTCAGTAAGATTTCTCTTTTTACATGTACATGTCAAATCATTTACTCGGTGAAGCATTAATGGTCATCCTTTCTTTCACAAGTTTAAATACAATAATCATAGTTAAAGTGTATAATAATTTCTATCAGCTAAATCAATCATACCATACATTGGAGTTTATTTTTTTCCGAAAGAGCATGAAATAAGGACTTAATTGTTTACAATGAATTATCATAAAATTGAAGGTATCACGTGTTTAACATGTGAAAAAAGCAACATATCCAATCATTTATCGATTATTATTATTATTATTATTATACTACTTAAAACAACTTTACTTCTGTTTTGCATAATGAAAACAATTACCCGTCACCATTTGATTTAGATTTTTTTCCTTTAAATTCATAGTTATGGATGAAATTATGTGAAAACCAGCATAGTGACGAGAAAATAAACTCTCATAAAAAATACTTGAAAAAGCACACACATATAATAATAATAGCAATAATAATAATAGGGTTTTTGTATTCCAAATAATAGGTGCTATACTGGCAAGCACAAAACTTTTCACGAGAAAGTAAGAAAAAATCGACAATTGTGACAGACTGATATTAAGTTACAGATTATTCCACATTCAACAAAACGGTATTGATTGATCAATAAATAATAAGGAATTTTTATAGTTTTTATTGTGTTGATAATGCGATTTATCAATTACAGATTTGTGTAATTGGCTTTGACTTACACTTTATGAGAGGGACAGCAATAATACCTAGCTGTCTAAACTGAAGTATATGGAGGAGGACTTAAACCTGAGATCTTATGTTTGAAAGCCGGACGCCTTAGCTACTAATCCACTATTGAAGATGACATAATAATAGATTGATCAAAGGTTAAAAACTAAGGAGAATTTTAAGAACCACTCATATATTTGGTTATTTCCCAAGATAGGTATGTAAATATTCTGACAGAGAGGAGGCTGAAAAGCAGATAGGGACAAAACCTCCCTGAAATGAAATATTAATTTTACAACTTTATATATATATATATATATATATATATATATATATATATATATATATATATATATATATATATATTAAGTGAACTACCACTTACTATCCCCTTTCCTTAAGCTACCCATATTAGAACCAATGATGCATTTCAATATTTGATTTTTCACGTAGAGCATACATAACCTTAACAAGTGACATACTGCTTCTCAGTTATATATATATATATATATATATACCTAATTTAACAAGTGCTTCCGTTGAGCAATAAGAACAGCGGTTACCAAGTTTCAATAACTTTCTAATAAATAAGATCAGACTTGTGAAATTACTTCTATCAAGATAGATTATAAAAACCATAGGAAGATAGTTTATAGCATGAACACGTATCGGCGTACTTCTAAATGATGAATCACATTTACTATGTCTGGACTAAATACATTACTTTGATGAAGAAATTAAAAAGGAAATAATGGTGGTTGGAAAACTGTAGGTCGTGATATTATTAAATAATTCCTCTGTATATTAGACAGTGAATACTACTATTTATATACCAAACAAAACGCTTTCCACGAAGTCTGAAGAAAAAAGAACACTTATAGTTGAAGAACTAACCTGTAGTGTTTGTAAATTAGATGTAGATTCTCGACGATTTGGAGTGTTCATTGATGATATCGGTCTTCGATTACCAGCTACACCATTACGACTCTTGACATTGTAATCAAACAAAATATATTATTATTATCAAAAGGGGTTATGTGGATATTATGGTAATTTTAATAGTTGAGATCGTGAGTCAATTGAAGCTAGACCACCATGGTTCGAACCCCGCGAAGGAGTCCCACAATGGGACGAAACGGCCGTCCAGTACTTCCAGGTTTTCCATGGTGGTTCAGCGTAAGTGATTATATCAATAATAGGAAATAAAATTGTTCGTTTCAATTGTTTAAACAAACAGTGGGATGAAAGAATTTGACAATGTTACAGAGAGAAGTAAACATATAAAAGACATTATTTCTATCTCAAATCAGTTTTTAATAGTGATATACTGTTTTATTTGAATACAATAAGCCTAATGATAAAACTTTCTTTGTCATTCTGAATATTATATTAGGACAAAATATTTATTGGTATTGTGTTAGCACAACAAAATAAATATTATAAAAGTTATTTTATTTCAAATCAATTCGAGTATCTAAACAATTTGCCTGGACGTAATTCATTCAGATATTCAAAAACGAAGAATATTTGAGCGAACAATTGTTTTCAATAACTTCATCATCAGGCTCTACAGTTATAAGTCCATAATTATAATATTTTACAAAGGCCAAGAATAAGGCATGTATTAATGAATTTGACAATGTTATGTGTTAAAAATGGTGAACGTTTGCATCTGTTACGATATATATATATACTTCAAAAAAAATTGTAATATTTGCAAATTAGAAAGGTCATTCAATAAAGGTCAGTAAATTGTTCAGTCACAATAAGATAATATAATAGTACTATTGGAAAATTGAAAATAATTTTGTCAACTGAGATAATAATAATAATAATGTTGTGTGAATATAATATGTAATAAGGGGGGTGTTATCAAGGTAATTACGGTCAACAAATTGGGAATGATGGATATGAAGATTAAGATATAGATAATGACAAATAATGATAATAAGGAAAATAAATAAAAATGAAGGAAGGAAGGGGTAAGAGGTTTATAATATTCAGTCTAGGTATTTGGTGATCTAGTCGTAGGCCAGGGTAAACATAGAGGCTGGATATATTTTTTCTGGATGCATAAGTTAGGTCTTCTGGAGTTGATCCAGATGGCTTCGGCTGTGTAAAGCAGTCGTAATCTAGCTCCTTGAGGTAGATATTTTGGAACTTGATATAAAACAGAGAAAGCTTCCTCTATTTTAATATGATGTTCACTATCTACCAAGTGAGAAAGAATGGTGCTGTTAATCGATTTGGTGACCCCTTTTCCCAACCATGCTGGTACATGTTCACGAACACGCAAGGATAAAGCCCTCTGAGTACGGCCTATGTAACTAGCTCCACAGGAGCAGTTGAATTGGTATACACACATGGAGGAGCCCATCTTCGGTAACTTATCCTTGATTAGTTGTGTGAGTACTGGTTTAGTCGAGAAAGTTATGTGTAACTTGGCGGCATGAAACGTCCTCTCGACAGATCTTTTGAGTCGACGTGTTAGAATATCACCCGCTATGTCGCCTTTAAAGTCAAGTTTCATATATAAGGTCTTTTTACTGACCGTGTCGCAATGTCTTCTCTTTTTAATACTTTGTACGAGGTATTTTTTGACGAAATTATCAGGATAGCCATTATTACGTAATGTGTTCTTCAGTATAACTATTTCTTCCTCCACACTGTCTTCAGAACATAAAACCTTGATTCTGTGGTTGAGACACTTAACCAAATTTATTTTATATTGCAGAGGTGTGAAGCTTTGGAAATGGGTATACTGACCCGTCCATGTACACTTTCTAAACATATTTCGCTTTATGGAACCATCTATCCTTCTAGAGAGTCGGACATCTAGAAAAGCTATGCTATTGTCCTTTTCCTCCTCGCTGGTGAATTTAATGGCTGGGTGGACATTATTGAAAGCGTCTAACATCTCCTGTTTGTCGATATTTTCGTCACATATGATTAATGTGTCATCTATGTATCGACAGTAATAATCAAGCTTATTTAGGATGTCTTTAAGCGGTCCATTTTCTAGTTTGGCTAGAAAAATATTAGCAAGGATCGGACCTAGAGGTGATCCCATTGCTACCCCATCTACTTGTCGGAAAAATTCATTGTTAAACTTAAAGTAGATATTCATAGTGCATTTCAAGAGAAGTTCTTTCATTTTGTTTATTGGGATAGGAATCTCTATTTTCTTTTCTATCAGTTGTTCACATATGTAATCTATAGTTTCAGTCAGAGGGATGTTAGTGAACAAAGATGTTATGTCTAGTGATAGCATGGTTTTTCCATTTATATTCATATTTTTAATTGTATCAACAAATTCAAAGACGTCTTTAACATTATGCTTAGCAAGTTCTTGGTGCAATGGTTCTAATAACTTAACTAACCATTTTGCTGTTGAATGGTATGGTGAATTTGCCATATCCAGTATCGGGCGTAGAGGAATATCAGGTTTATGGATCTTAGGTAGACCATGTAGTCGAGGGGTATGTGTTCCAGAAGGCTTAAGCATATTATAGGTATGCTCAGAGATGTGTTGGTGTTGATTTAGGAATCATTCAGATATCAAAGATTTTCATGGATGAATAGTTATGAATACATGAAAACAATTAAATTTATTATCAGTATAGGGTTGTGAAGATTGATGAGTTTCACCGAAATCATGAACCGATCAGTGTTAGACCATCATTAAAAGCCTGGAAGCACTGGATGGCCGTTTCGTTTTGGTATGGGACTTTTCAGCAGTGTGCATCATGGTTTTAGTGATGGAATTTATGTTATCTAAATGATTTATCCCCATCCGTTGGTTCCTTAATTCATATTCCTTTATACTATTATTGACGACAAAGTTTGGTAAAACAGTGAATTAGCCTACGTTAAGATCATTTAGATTACAAATCAATAAGTCAAGCAACCGGTTAAAAAAAAACTAAAATATTAACATTAAGGTAGAGATTTTTATACGAAAACTCTGCTTCATTGTAGAATAATGAAACAGAACACACTTTCGTCTAGTCTGACCACCATATTCTTTGTATTTATCTAGTATAAACTTCGTATATGTTGTTACGGTAACTTTGAGTATTTTTCCTGCTTATTAACTAATCGTCAAGTGTGTGCAAAATCAGTAAATAAATGAGTTTAATTCGGTTTCTTTGACATGCTTTCAGAGAGTCAGTAAATCTACATCCTCATTAGTCTTCTGAGTTCTTACTTTTTAATTTAAAATCTGGTAAAACCATTTTTTTTATTGCACAGAAACATTCCCCTCACGGGAAGTTTGCGCTTCTCTAGATAATTCAGACTAAGTGCTGATGACTTCATAAACTAGCGACTTGTCATATTTTAATTTGATGATTTTTAGTTGAAAGCACATAAAATAGAGAGAGACCAACCTGTAATCCATTATTAACTTGATTTAGACGATAAGAGCGAGATACTGAACTCAAATTGGATGAATAGGATAGTAACGATTCTTGACTCCGGCTGTAAAAAACAAAATATGAAAGAAATGATTTTTTGCAACCAATTAAATAAGAACTAAATTTCAACAAGGATAAACTATTTTAATTAAACTTCTGAAAACATTTGAGACTAATACAAAAATCCATCGAATTTTATGAAAATTGGTTTCGAGAATGACGAGTCATTCCCGTTATTCTCAAGAAGCACATCACAAATTTAAAACAAATCGCCATCACTTGTACAGATTTTCGCTCACTAAAATATAATTGTTAAGTCTCAGGAAACATAAGACTTTTAGCGTGGTAGCCCTAAAATTTCTCAATTCAGAAATGATTTACACTGCAAACTGATTTAATTTACACAACTATTAAAAACTAAGAAGCGCTGTATGATTGATTTCTTTCAGAATTTAACTCCTCGATAATATGTATCCATAACTCCACGATGGATCGTAATAAGGACTTCCTAGTAAAACTCGAACCCATTGAAGTTCAACTACATTGGTTGTGAGACACATATTCACAAAGACAATGACTAATGATCGTGCAAAATACTGAGTTAACTAGCGTTTAAAATAAGGAGTATTAGGTTGAAATGCAAAGCTCTTACGCCAAGGCCTGGAAGTGCTGAGTTCGAACCCTAAGAGGCCATGAATGTGCAGTGATGAACTCCATATAGAAATAAGATACACATCTAATGCTACATTACATTTAACAGTTGAATCCCTATAGCTATTCTATGATGTAAACTATTCTAAAAATGTAGGATTTCGTCGATGACATCAAGGTTTACAGGACTAACATATTACCATTGAAACATCAAAATTGATGTGAGCTTTTTGTGACAACACACATGAATTTTTCGTGATTAAGTACACTGTGTTTAGCTTCAAAAGTTTAAATAAAAATAACAAAGTCGCAATTAATTACAATAAAAGATTTACACTGCTAAAAGTAACAAGCAATGAAAATCTAGATTCTAAAAAATAAAACTGTCCATTAGAAATGAAGTGTTGCAAATAAATATGTCTGTCAAGTATAGCAATATTTTAGAAGAGATACACTCCACTATGAAATGATTGGTAGTTATTGTTTCATAAGGACATATTAATCACTGCATTCAACTAGAAAAATACATATTCTTATGCTTAAAAACATGCCAAACGTCATTTATTTTACGAAGCAAATCGCTTCAACAGTTGTGCTAGCGAAACATTCTTCTCATTAAACGATGAAAAGTGACACGAGAACCCATCATATATAATGATATTCTCTCTTTTTTAAGGGAGATGTGATAAACAGTGTTTAACGCATTCTACGTAAAATTGATTAAAAACAACGGAAACTACTGTTTTAAAGATAATTAGGCTGGTACTATGTCAAGTCCACATAGGTTATTCTAGCCTCTGGACAGACCAATTTATTCATTCTTCTCAAGCCACATTTTTACTTTGTCACTTATTCGCTTATCAACCTTGACTTTTTATGTAAGCGTATGTGTGCGCATTTCCTATCTTACTCATCACATGTCTGTAACTTATTTTTGTTCAACTAGAAATATCAATTCACGCTTGGCTAAACTGAGTTGGCTCACTCACCTTCTCCATTATACATCATTTTTTGCTTCTCTATCTGATCAACGACTGTACAAAATACACATATTTAAAACTTCATTCTCGTATTTGACTTATTCAATTCTGTTATTCACTAACACGATTTAAGTCGATGATTATATAAGAGAACAGTCAAGATGTATATTTCAATAGCAAACAGCAAACGATCTACCTAGAGTCAGATATCCGGGCCACTAAAAGCTCTATATCCGAAGTTATATTAAACATGCCTGTACTACAACGAATCGATTCTAAAAGAGAATTCATCTTATGGAGATGGGAATAAATAATTGGCCGTAGATAGCTTTTTATCAACTAAGCGACACAAAACACTAAATGAAGAGTAAATGAAAAAATTTTTTAATCAAGGGATGTTGTGCCAAACCAGATCATCAGAGGTATATTTCTGAAAGACCCTTAAAAGGCACATGCACAATAACTATAGCACTGATGTATATATGCCTCAACTTGGAGGGCTTAATAACTATTTTAAAATCTCTAAATAAACAAATCACCAGAAAGTGAGATGAAGACAGAACTTTATTATCTTCGAATGCAAAATTACGATTAATAAATAGAGACAGTTAACCATATATGTGGACAAGGGGAGATATGAACACCACGATTTCAGTGAACGTCATGAAACACTTATTGCGGAAATTTAAAGTGTAAGTATTACGTTTGATAGCAAAATTCATTACCACATTCTATGTTCAATGATACTTTTTTAGCTAAACCTGGAGAGGAGGAGAGAGGAAATTGAGATGAAAAGCGTAGTAGAGGTACACATGACCGATATAATTCGCAAGAAATAAAAAAATTGAAGGATGAAAAGTACATTGCTTAACTTAGTGTTTGATGGGAGATGCAGGACTAGTGCGACTGCTCTACTGAGATTGATTTCGGGCCATGACATACGTCTCAAACAATAGATTATTATCTCAAGGGTGCCAACACGGCTCATGCCGACAATCACTGACTTGGTGAATTGATGCCACATCTTCCAACTTACTCTTATGTGGGCACTAAGGTGTAGGGATGGACGATTGCTAGTAATGCACTTTGCATGTTTCAATAACTTTGATCGTTTATGGTTTATAACCTTATCAACCGAGTAGCGATTTCTGTCTAGTACTTTACGCCTAACGCCATATGCCCTGACATGGCCAAGGGTGGAAAGAGTCCACTCTTCATCTCGGAATCTTCTGTCCGGTTTGGCTGGTGTTAGTGTCGCACTAGGTCCCAGAGCAGAAGCATTACTAATCCATTGGATTCTCTTAACCAGTCGATTATGTGCCGTTAGACCAGAAAGCTTCATCAAAGTGATTAGAAACCGGTGTGGGGAACGACGCCCATTCGTTATCTCCGCCTAAGCCCCGACAGATTCCAGCCCAGATGTAATCAGGGATCAGTTCTACAATCAGTTAGATGATACTCTCAAAAAACATCAAGCTGGAAAGACATTGTAATGCTAGCCGGAAATATAAATGCTCTGATCGAGAGTCTAGGTACTGAGAAGCGTCGTTTAGGTAGCTAACAGGGACTCATTAGCCACAGGTGGATTAACAGTAGACGCCTCCCGCAGCTTTGCACAGACCACAAGACGGTTACTCCTTTTAGAGTACTTATCTGGGCTCTGATCATGCCCTCGTTTGCGTTAATCATATCTTACGTCGCAGTGGTTAACAAATTTGTCGTTCTAAGCCGATTGATGCAACCAAATTGATTACAGCTTACATTAAAACCAATTATTAAACCAAACTAGGTTCAAGGTTAGCTAACTTCCTATCAGCGGGATACCGATTAGATTAAAGCACGTTCCGTGCAGGATTGTGTTGGGGCACACTGATCGGCTATTTCTTAACGAATCGGAGCTAGCGTATGCTTAAAGAACACTCTAGAATCTTCTTACGTGAAAATTATAAATATATTAACGTTTTTCGTATTTTGATTCTTACTTACATTCAACCTTGTTATTTAGAATGTAATTACGTTCCTGTTCAACATTGTTCTGACTTGGGGAAGTATTGTCCAAGAATGCTAAGCAATAAGAGTAGTTCGGTCGTAAAAAGAGAACATGTAACACGTCCCACCGAAAAGTATGGATGAGCACCGTCTGCATTTGCCTGACGCTATGAAAAATGGCGAATAGATTCGCTAGTGGCTTAGCTAAACGTCTCTCTTGTAAGCACAGAGCTTTTACAAGCTCCTTATAATTCATTGAGGCACGTTGGTCTACTCCAGCTAACAGCGAGTTTAACGAGACAGACGTTCTTACGTACAGAAATTGCGTAAAGTTTGCGTAAAAACCGAGAAGCCTGGTGATCGGAGCAAAATAAAGGATTAGAAGCAGCGGCTTCATCTGGCAATCACGAAGAGCTCTTCCAACTCATCCGAGACACTGATAGCAAGAAGTCTGGTGTGAGAGAAGCGATCTGTGATGCTGACAGGACACCGATCAATAGCATCCAACAACGTCCTAAATGATAGGCAGAGTTCTTCGAGGAACAGTCCAGCTGGTCTACTGGCTCGGAAATATCAATGAGACTGTCCCGTTCTCTAGAGTTGATGAAAACTTCCCCACCAAACGAAGCAGGAATCTGCAAGTAAATCCAACTCCTGAAGTGCATAGATCATCAATCCTAGATGACTTACAACTGGTCTTCTTTAAAGGAGGTGGCGAACCTCTTGTCAGAAGATTGACTGAGTTGCTTACAAAAGTTTGGGAATTAGTATCCAAATACCCTGGAATGAGAAAATAGTCGTCCCTATCTTTAAAAATGGTTCACGTTGCCTATGTAACAACCATCGGGGGACAAGTTTACTTTCGATTGCGTCCAAATCATTAGCTTCCGTCATACTTCGTGGACAGTTTGAAGCCCATGAAAGACCGACTCGCGAGGAGGCTGGCTTTCGATTTTGTCGTAAATGTATTGATTACATCATCACCATCTGCCAAATATTAGAACAGCGCCATACCTAATGTAGGCCAACAATGGTTGTGCTTTTGATACTAGGGCTGCCTTTGATTCGTTAGACAGGACTTTTTTCTAGGATTGTCTATTGAAGGAGAGTGTACCTGAGAGGTTTATTCACATTCTGAAGGCCCGATATATAAGCACCTCAAGGCAGAGTGAAAACATACAACAATCTCTTTCCATTGTTTCGTCCAAGTAGTGGGGTTAGGTAAGGTTATCTAACCTTACTGTTTCTCTCCAACTTCGCTATTGATAGCGTTCTGGAAACAACTCTGATGGATGTAAATAGTGGTGGTGTTGATCTGTTGCCTGGAGAAAGATTTTTCAACCTTGACTATGCGGATGATATTATCCTTCTGTGTGATAGTACTCAAGCTATAAGAGTCTCAGTTAATCAGTATTTGTGGGTACGGCATGAGCTTTTCACCTTCTAAGCTCCAAGAACTTTTATAAGACTAGCAGGACCCTGTGCCTGCGCTCACTCCTGATAATTAGCAGTTATAAGTAGTCGAGAGTTCTGTGTATCTGGATAGCTCTGCAGGTTCTGGGTGGTGGCGTGAATGGTGAAACCAATTTACGTAAAGTAAAAGTCAGAGCAGTTTGTGTCAATCTGGAACACCTCTGGCGCTTTCGTTGTGTTAGCATGGTTGTAGAAGGCCGAGTTTACAACGCTTCGGTGAGAGCAGTTTTGCTCCACGCTTGCGAAACCTGACATCTTCAATTTGAAGACGTCAAGCAACTCTATGTGTTCCACTATTGTTTTTTCCGAAATATTACGGACATTCAGTGCCAACATCATGTAATTAATGCGGGGGTGTAGCAACATGTGTTCGAACACTGGCGACAATTAAACTGGTGTCACCAGCTCGAAACATCAACCTCGATAGCTTGGCTGTGCTACGAATGCCATGCTACGGACTTCCACGTTACGCTTTATTTGCCGATACTGGGACTGGTTAGAAAAAGTGGAGACAGTCCGTTTATAAAATGATCCTGGGATACAAAGGAAAGTTGCACAGGGCTGGCATCTGTCGGTCATTCATGACTTTTAGGTTGGGATACAAGAGGTGTTGCAACTCAGTGGCGTCGGATGTCATCAAATATGGCTTAGAATATAAGCCAATGTGGATCCTGCTGTAATTTTCTTTGACTATATTTCAAAAGTGAGAGGAACTTCCTTAACTGGAAGGATTCCTTGTGACTGTGCTTTTTACAACTGAAAAGTTTCGCCCACCATAAACTACACTTATCCACTTTTTTTTTACTTATTTACTGTTTTTCATTACATTTACCTTCCTTTCTCTATTGCTTCACAACCTCATTTTCTTATTTTATGACATATTTATTATGGCATTTATGTCTACTAATATTTGTGTTTAAATAAATAAATAACCTCAACGGAACTCAGTTGGTGGTTTTCGTATCAGAAAGTGATGACCCTGATATGATAGGAGGTCATAATTCGAAGTTCTACACCGTGGGCTGACTTCGATTAAACAATACAGAAAAACTGGATGAAATGGACAGATGTTTCATTCTAGTATTGGGATCCTTAGTACTGAGAATCCACGACCCAACTAGGAGTCGAAACACAAAATTTAGATCTCGCAGAGAACAATCAATCGTTAGATCAATTCTAACTGTAAGCAGTATAAGATGATGAGCAACTTTCATCCATAGCCTTAGTGATACCTTTCTCACTCCTCACAATATGGGTTCTGACAAGGACTTCGGAAGTTCTCAAAGTCGCCAGTAAGTAAACGATTATTGTTAGGATGGAGGGCTTATGGACATTATTCAATTTAGAGTTTACATGATAACTAGTATCTGGCCACGATCCATGATGATACGGTTTCGATTAAGAAGAAAGGACTGTCCAATGCCCCCTAGTTTCCAATGGATCTCCATCTAATTCAAGTTTAGAATTTAAATTGTTTTCGAGCACATTTACCTTACTGACAACTCCAAATTTGTGTGCAAATACTTGGCTGCTAGTGAGTACATCGCATTGCATTTCTGATCACGGAACATGTCAAAAATTTACGGCATATCTCATCCTGCATTCTTACTTATACGTTAGAAATCATTATCACGAAGTGAATATTTCAAAAAGTATGTTCTGTTACCCATTAATTAATAGTTGAAGGGGCAATATACTAACAGATGCTGGAGAATTCAGCTCAGGTAATCAGTAAATATAGAATCCAAGCTTAATATATAAACAATGTACCAACAAAAAAAACACCACATAAACTTGCCGAGTTTGACTGTTTTTTGATGCATCAAAACCAGATGTGAAAAATTCAGCCTTACTACCGGCAGGTACAACTTTATTAGCGGCTGCAAACAAGCCATGATTTGGTTTACAAGTAAAATATCTATGCAGAAAAAAATTTAAAAGTATAAGACTTTACAAAACTACCGGATTTATTACATATTAATACATTTAAAATGAATAACAATATTGTTGCTGGATACAAAGTCTATATGACCGGAAAAATGACCTTCAATAGATAAATAAAAATACAGGATGACCGGGCTGTTATTAGCTTTAGTAATGAAAGACAAGCATATACTCACTTAATGTCTTAACTGAATAGAAAACAGGATCAAATTAAATAAATGTTAGTGAATCATACAGAGTGACAAAGCTTACCTAAAGCAACAACCCACTGGATAGATTATGTTAAGGCTGCTTGTAATGTGAAGCCCTAACATAATTATGGACATATTAAGTAAAAACTCACCTTCACAGTGATTAGTCAATAACTATCGGTTACTTAGGCACTATAGGCACAGAAATTCTCTTTGACATCAGTTTATTTTAACACCCTAGAAAGAAATGATCGCAAAGACAGTCTTTTAGCATCATGTTTGAAAATGTTTAGTGGAAGCCCCATTGCTCTTACTAAGTCCCAAATAAAAAGTCTCATTCATCAATGGAATAGTGGCTAGAAAACTAAAACATTTTCGTCCTATCTAGTTCCGTTCGGGGAACCGAGTAGTATCAGCAACACAATATATGTGACTTAAAGCCCAGTAAACAAACCTGAATTTGACAAATAAGTCACTTAATTGATACAGTAGAATCTTGCTAAAAAAAGACTATTTTTAGTATTTTAGAATAAGCAATATCTACCTTTCGAATAGTGCAAATGACCTTAAACTAGAGATAGTCAATTCTGTCTTCTAACCGGAGCACAAGAACAGTATTCCATCAAAATATCAGTTGACTTAAAAGTTGCATAGAGCACTGGGTGCATATTTCTAGCAATGATCTACTGGTGTCAGATAAGTATATATATGCTCAAAATCAGTTTTAAAGTTCCTTTATCAGATACCAATTTTATCAAGCAATCTGAGGACATGTCAGGCAGTTTCAATATAAATCACTATATTCTCTGAAACGATACCAAATTCCCCTGGTGCATATATAAACCATTACCTTCACACCAACTTCTTATACTCTATCCATTTATAATGAAATATAATGTTTGACGGTTTGACTAATATCTAATTTTACAGAACTATCACAAAAAGAACAGAATAGCGTACCGTACGCCAGAAACTGAGCCATCGTTCTTCCCAATAGGGCTATCCAACTCAACACCAGCCCATTCACCAACAGCAAACTCTGTAGGCCCAAGATATCTGAGGATACCAATTCGACCTCCAGAAACCTGAACATGATCACCGATTTGCAAAGTATTTCGTCCAGATGCACAGGCAGGAGAGTTCACTAGAGACACCTTGGATGAACAGACACTATCGACATCTAAAACGCTGTTTTGTTTTGATTGATTGTCTGGCACTTTATCAGGAATTGTTGAACCAACCTAAAATATTAGGAGCAAAAAATACATAAACTCGACGACTTAGTAATAGCTCATAACATATGTTCAATGCAACAAAACATTTGGACAAATCCAGGATACAAAAGCACTAAAAGACAGATTTATCCATATCATAAGTTTGGTAGCTTCAGATGACTACAAATTACAGGGAACTGTACAGACCTTTAACTTACAGGCTTAGTCATATCTGCATACACGGGATTAAAAAATGTACCATAACCAGAAAGTTACATCACCTTAAGATCGGATTGCAATTATGTCATTGTAATATCCTCTAAAATAAATTGAAGGGAATTTAGACCGCTAGTTATTCACATGAATAAATCAGACGTCCAAATTGAGATTTAGGTAGTTATACTAGTTTTCGAAATTCCTACAATTGAAGAACATATGGAACTCAAAACAACTTTCAACCAATATCAGTCAAAATCTTTAATACGAACGTCAAGACAGTTCTACTGTACGGAGCTGAAACTTGGAGAACTACAACAAACACCATCAAGAAGGTACAAGTATTTATAAATGGTTGTCTACGCAAGATACTCAACATCCATTGGCCGGATACCATCAGCAACAGCCGTCTATGGGAGAGAACAAACCAGCTTCCAGCTGAAGAAATTAGGAAAAGGCGATGGAAATGGATAGGAAATACGTTACGCAAATCATCAAACTGCATAACGAGGCAAGCCCTGACTTGGAATCCTGAAGGGAAACGGAAAAGAGGAAGGCCAAAGAACACATTACTTCGGAAAATAAAAGCAGATATTAAAAGGATGAGCAGTGACTGGAAAGAGCTGGAAAGGATTGCAAAGGACAGGGTTGGATGGAGAATGCTGGTGAGCGGCCTATGCTCCTTCACGAGGAGTAACAGGTGTAAGTAAGTAACTAGTTTTCAAAATATAAATTACTATCATGACTAAAATAACCTTTTTGAGTCTAGCTATAAAGCTTCAGTAAATTACTTACATAACGCTCAGCTGTGGCATTCAAGTAGCGCAACACGGTGTTCTTGTGTTTTTCAGCATAAAACTACACGTCGTCATCAGACAACCATAGTTTCTTTATACGACTACTAATTTGTGCGACTTCAAGACAACAATTTTATCGATACAGCCGACAAAACAGACGTTCCATATTTTTCCTACCATTTTATAATGCTGTTATACCCAATAACTTCAGCTGCTTAGAGATCGGTTGCCGCGTTGTAAGTCCAAGGACCACGCCTAATTAAGATAAGTGACATCAACACAATAAGTATAGTCTAGAGTCTAGTATGTCTACTTTTTTACTACTGATACTACTAATTCGAAAACCTTTATATCCCCAAAATTCCGTCACTCTATGATGATCTGACGGTAACTTGAGCCTATGCGCATTTGCGCTAGGTTTTTTATTGATTATGATTGACTGACCGAGAGCCTAGTATGGAAGCCAGCACTTTTATTAGTTTTTCATGTTGTTCAAGTTGAAACACTTTAATTACGAACCACCCGTGTTTACTTATATTTAAATATGATTGTATTAACATTTCATAGCTAGTAAGATTGAGATCCATGCTTTAAACACACCCATAACTCTCACTATAAAATGATAATATAAGGATTATGTTCCGATCTATGGCTGAGCGATTACCGTCCAACAAAAGCTAACCCTGTGTTTACGACAAGCCTGGCTTTTTTGAAGACCAGACGTTAGGATGATTTGAAATCGGATAAAAAAAAGCTTTATAATAATGATTAAGAAGAAATGTACCTTTGCACGATTAAAATGTGATCATATGTGAGTTGAACTGGTCTACTACCACTCAAACAAAATGATCACGGAATAAAGATGCTAGATTAATTCAGGAGAGCAATGTAAACCATAGGGTCGATTGTTGCACAGCTCCCATGTTTGTTACGTTTAACCCAATGAAAATGGTAACTAAGTAACCTCCTGATAACTAGGGCCCTTCGAAACTTGATAGCCCCATAAGTGACAGAACACTGTGAAATTTTGACCTTAGCCCATTTAAATGTGTAGTGAGTAGCTAAATAGTATGCAGAAATGAACTAATACTGGTTTATCGACGGATCGTAAGACGTATGGCTGTAAAGTATTTGACACCATGATCAACAAGTTGAGCCTTAAAGTCCCATCCAGGTTTTTAAAGACTCTGATTGAGTTATTGCAGAAATTTTGGCAATCTGACTTACTTTTGAGCAGGATTCCTCAGGTAGAGGGTTTGGCGCAAGTCTGACATTACCACGCTTAGAAAATATTCCATGCAATGGACTACAAGTGAAATACGTCACACCATCGACACAACCATCATTCTTTCCACAAGGTGAAAATAAATTCACACCAATCCACACTCCGCTGGCAAACTGCGTCTCTCCGATGAATTCTATTTTACCTATCCGCTGGGTCCCAGGACCAACATATACAACATCACCAACTGTGAATTCCGTTTGTTCCACATTTAAAGTCTCTTGGTCACAGTGACTCATTCAGCAAACTAGATGAAAAATGCAAAGATCCAACATCAAGGATAAACAACAAGTATATTAACCTTCAGGTTGATGCGTCTCTGAGGGTCGTCAGTTTCATAATAGTTCATTTCAACAAAGACTTATAGATAATTTGTCAGCCGATTTCCCCTCGCTTCAGAACTTGCACTAGACTTTACGGGGTGCTATACATCATATATATCGTATGGTTAGCCTAGTCACTTGTCTTGTCTTCAGTAATAAGGATAGTAGGTTGGTGAACCTGTATTAATCCTGACACACTGCTTTCCAGTGAAGGTCCAGCTTCTCTTTGAAAGTATTCACTGATGGGACTGATACCACTTGTTCGGGTAAGGCGTTTCAATCATTGACTACTCGATGGGAAAAACGGGACCCCACTTTAAGTTTATTAGATCGTGGTTTATGAACCTTCTTGCTATGACCCCGGAGATTATTAGTGCTGAAGGGAGCAAAAAGATAAGACATATCAACACCCAAACCATAATTAAAGATACGAAATGTCAGTATAAGGTCACCTCGTGTCCTACGATACTACAAGGGGAAAAGATTTAGGCGTTTTAAACCCTCATCGTAAGGGAGTCTAGAAAGACCCTTCACTAATTTCGTTCCTACACGCTGGACACGCTCAATGGAGTTAGTATCCTTTACCAGACACGGGCTAGCTGCTTGGATACAGTACTCTAAATGTGGTCTCACATATATGGGATATAAAATTCGAAACGTTTCCGCGTCAAAAGATTTGAATGCTCGGCGAAGTGATCATAACGCACGAAAACCTTTGACAGCGGCTGCGTTGCAATGCGTAGTTGTTTTTAAGTCATGTCTTATTATTACTCTTTATGCTCTTGAACGCATGGAAGAGGTTTACCCTCGAAAGTGTAACGGTAACTATTACCGTGACCGATGTGCACTAGCACACTCTTCCTAGCATTGATTTCTAAGCCCCACTCTCGAGCACATCTAACTAAATCGTCTAAGTCAACTTGAAGATCCAGATGATCAGCCTCACTTTTTATTGTTCTCCAGATTTTTACATCATCCGCAAACCATAATGTCGACGACCTAAGTAACAGCGGTAACTCATTAACGTAGAGAAGGAAGAGCAGAGGGCCTAAGATGGTGCCTTGGGGTACACCACTTTTGACCGGCTTCCAATCGGATAGCGTTCCGTTGACCCTCACTCTCTGTCTGCTGTCACATAAGAAATTTCCTATCCATTCATGTGCAGTACCTATTGTTCCGAAGCTCGTGAGCTTCTGCATAAGACCTACGTGTGAAACCTTATCAAATGCTTTGCTAAAATCTATGAATATCACATTGACAGGCAGACCGTTATCTAGGGCTGCTGTCCAATCCTCTCTCGCAATAAGCAAGTTAGTCAAGCATGAACGCTTGTTACGAAATCCGTGTTGCTCAGGAGCTAACAGATTGTGTGAAGCTATGTGGCTTAGCAACTTAACCCGAATTATCTTTTCAAGTAACTTAACGACTATGCTAGTTAGACTGACAGGCCGGTAGTTAGATACTATCTGTCTCTGACCGTCCTTAAATATAGGACTGACTATAGCATCCTTCCAATCTCTAGGTAGTTGAGCGAGTGGAAGGGACATGTTGAAGAGTGTCGCAAGCGGTTTTGAAATAATGTCCGCAAGAGATAACAGCAACCGTGGATATAACCCGTCAGAGCCCGGTATCTTACAAGGTTTGAGGTTAGTTATCAACGGAAGGACAGTCTCCTCAGTCACCTGTACAGATTCAATGGTTGGTATCTCGGTGTGAGTGGGACAAGTATTTGTTACAATAAACGTAGAGAAGACTTCGCTAAAATAGTTTGAAAAAGTTTCAGCTTTTGCTCGATCTGATTCAGCTAGTAAATCTGAATTTTCGTGTAACAGTAACGGGGGAATACCATCACTACGTTTCATTCGCCGTTTAACATACAAAAACAATCGTTTCGGACAAGTACGGCTATCATATGCTAACTGTCGTTCGTAAGTGGTACGGGATTCGGCTATGGTTTTCTTACAGATATTACGGAATTTTTGGTACTCACGCTCAAATGGCTCATGACCTGTCAACAAGAATAAGTCCCAGAAATGTTTCCTACGCTTTAACAGCTTCCGGGTTTCCTTATTAATCCATGGAGGGCAATGTGATAGCTTACGTGCTGACCATGGGATAAACGGCGACGTTACGGACTCGAACGTGGCCTTAAACTTATTCCATTCGCCTTCGATCGATCTATCCGCGTCGACCGACCAATCAGTCGAGATTACACAGTCTCTGATTGCCGGAATATTGACTCGCCAGATATTGGGATGGGGTGGAGCAGATACGAATTGAATACCATGTGTCCTAAACTTAAAGTGAATTACGTGATCACCGTTCACTAGTAGGGGAAGGTGCTGAATATCTGTTATAACGTGAAAAATAAATGCTGCGGATTAAGGGTAGAGAATCATTGATCGGACCAAAGACGCACAAACACGTAGAACGACCTAGGGTTCTGATTGGTCTCGCTTCCCTGTCTAGCCCAGCCAGATGAGTCCAGAACGCAAGCCACAGCCTCGGATATATGAATCATTATGTTTCAAACATACTTTGTTTATATACCAGTCAAGCAGACCACAACGTACCATAAAATAGAAAATAACATTGTACAATAATGGCCAGTAGGAAAATGACACGTTAAACAAATATTGACCAATAAGATGATACCATTCCATGTCCAAGGATAGCATTAGGCTTAACAGGAGAATTTTTGGGATATTTTCCTGAATATCCCAACACCTCCCTTTTTTGGAGATCCGGAGTTGATGTCCGGATTTTAAATTTTTTTCCGCATCAAAGACATCCTCACAGTGGTAGGTGAGGGCGAGATCCAGCAGTGACGGATCATGTTGCAAATCAATATGTGTCGGTTTTGTGATACATCGTACAAGTGCACACTGAATAACAGTAGATAAAATGTCGCTATCGAAACCACTACCTGGAGCTGTAAGCTCTATCCAGTAGAAGTAAAACCGTAACACTTCGTAGAAACTATCGCAAGGTTGATTAGAATAACTCCCACAATTACCTAAGAAGCACTGATTGGAGAACTTTCTTTACCTCAAACAATACCGACACATTAACCAATATATTTTATCACAACATCAAAAGTATCATTAACAACATCGCACCTTTAGAATACTGTAAACCTACGTTCTCCAAAGATCTCTATATACCGGTCAGTATAAGAAGACGTCTTCAAAGACATTGTACTCGATTCCACAACTTAAATGACTTTTACTCTTTAGTAACGATGACAGAAATACTTGTCCGAACAGAGGCAATAAGTAAACAAAAAGCAGTAGCACAGGAAAAACGTGCAGTTGAACTTAATAATAACTCCTCTACACTCACCATACTACTCCAAAATAAACTTAAACGCTCTAAATCGAGAGGGAGTATATTCATTAAAGGCAAACAAGTATACGAAGATCCCAAACTTATCACAGAATTATTCAGTGAACATTTTTGTTTCTCACTAACTAACGAAAAACCATTTAATGATTCAGAACCAATCCCAGTAACTCCCTGTGAAATTACTAATGTAGAATTCAGTGTACAAAATATCTCCAAAGCAATCAGTACATTGAAACACTCCTACACTGATGGACCAGGTGGTATTCCATCTAGCATGCTAAAACGTGGAGGTGATGATATGTGTGTTTTGCTTTTCAAACTATTCGCGATATCACCCTCTTCAGCGTGTTACCCTACTGCCTGGAAAACTACACATATCATTCCCAAAATTAAAACAGGACCTGAAGCAAACGTTGAAAATTACCGGCCTATAAACATAACTTCAGTGGTATCCAGAGTGATGGAAAAAGTAGTTAAGGCGGCTGTAGTCAAACATCTATTAACTAACAATCTCTTGTCGACCTCCCAGCATGGATTTCTTAGGTCCAGATCATGCGATACATGCCTAGTAGACTACCTGAATGATATAACTCTGAAACGAGACAGCGGACTCCTTGTATCAGTCCTATTCCTAGACTTTAAGAAAGCCTTTGATAAGGTCCCACACAAAAGGCTACTCGTCAAACTAAAGTCCTTCGGAATACACAACCCACTGTACTCATGGTTTGCTTCGTTCTTAACAGAACGTAAACAGATGGTAAAGTACAATGACTGTCTCTCGTCCCCTAGACCAATCACCAGTGGAGTCATCCAGGGAAGCGTATTAGGGCCACTTTTGTTTCTTATGTATATAAACGATATATGTAACACCATAGAATTTGGGAAACCGTACTTATATGCTGATGATCTCAAAATAGTATACAGCTATAAGCCTGAGACACTAAGCGAAAGTGTATCCCAGATCCAAAAGAACCTCAATAACTTAACTATATGGAGTGAAAAATGGCAATTACCATTTAACCTCAACAAGTGCGGGATCATGCACTTTGGAAAGCATCCCTATAAACCGCGACTTCACTTAAATGAAAGTAGAGTCCAAACACTCGAATCAGTACACGATTTAGGAATTCATTACACAGGAAGCCTGAACTTTAAAGAACATGCCTCCTCTATTATTTCTAAATCTAGACGGCTAATTGGTTTTATAATGAAAAACTTTTTCACAACAGAGGGTAAACTTACTCTCTACAAAATATGTGTACGACCCACCCTTGAAAACTGCTCTTTTGTCTTCTCTAATATGAATATCGCAGACAAGATAAGAGTAGAAGATGTTCAAAGACGTTTCACACGTCAACTACTAGGATGTAACTCGAATCTCGATTACACAGACAGATGTAAGCATCTATCTTTAGAACATTTATGGCACCGTAGGCTAAAACACAATTTAATATTTCTCTACAAAGCGATATATGGGGTTTCCTTTCTAACCTCCTGCCCGACTATCACCCACGACCCAGCCTATAGACTTCGAAACAACGCATATACACTACTTACCGTAAAACACCAAA